TTCAGAAAAATAGTTTCATAAGAATTCTACATTCTTTTTCCAAGATATTAATTATCAGTGTGCTAAAAATACAACGTCTTACTTCTTTAGATTAGAAGAATGCAAAAAGAAGACCACCCAGCAAACATCAAGTAACATTTATACAATTGTTAGTTATAATTTCCCATACTTGGTGTTTGCTGAATATTTATTTATGTTTAGGAATAAATATTTGTTTATACATTTCCTTTGTCTATAGTAGAACAAAGTCGCTCAGATCAACCGACCAATTGTAACAAGAACGCCATTACATTGAAATATTAATTGAGTTATTCGGTTTCAGTTGCCGTGAAAGAAACAGTCGATAGTGTAGATTACTATTACATTCCTGCCAACTATAGCGACTGGTACATAGTGCAAGACGATGGGGTTTCAGATTATCATAAAATAAGCTACTTCACCGAGGACATCGGTTTGACCTCTTTCTATATCGCAAGCATCCACGACTTCCCACACTGGCTAAGCAGCGCTACACATAAATTGCTCCCGTTCGCCCGCGGCGAATTGTATTTGTACTTGCACCATCAGATTCTCGCTCGTTATAATCTGGAGAGACTGTCGAATAATCTCGACGACGTCGATTACGTTGACATAAACAGGCCCGTCATTCCTTATTATCCGAAGCTGCAACATCCCAATGGAGCGTCGTTCCCCCAACGTCCCGTTGGTTTCAAGATCCCTGTTCACATGCACGAGGATATCCAGGTTGGTAATATGTCGAAACTAAGATGACCAAGAAACATCGAAAGGGTGTGCCAGAGATGGAGGATATCCTTTGGATGTTGTCTGGAAAGTTGTTTGGAATATAGCTTTCGTTAATGGGGGCGTTGTTACTAGTGATAATCGAATGGAATCATTATTTATTAATAAATTAAATCAATTATTATCTTTTTATTATTATTCGACACAGGCCCTGCAGGACGCCCATGTTCGCATTTCCGATGCCATTGATAGCGGCTATCTCATTGACGCGAACGGCAACAAAATCGATATTTACAAGACCTTTGACGGTCTCAATAAACTCGGCAACGTTATCGAAGGAAACGCCGATTCTGTCAATCCCGGATACTATAGACAAATGGACTTATTGTACAGGAAAATCTTTGGGGTAACTCCGGTGCACCACACCACCTCGAACAACGTTAACCCTAGCGCTCTTGATATGTTGACCACCCGTTTGAGAGATCCCCTGTTTTATAGAATACACAGGAATATTATGAGCTACTGGACGAAGTAAGTTTAAGCAAACCCTATCCGATACAATTGAGGAATTTTGGGATTAATTATTCAATATGTTCTCGTAGATACAAGGAACACTTGCCGGAATACACAGAAAAGGATCTCGTCTTCCCAGGCGTGCATATCCATTACGTCCGCATTGACAAACTGGTAACATTCTTCGATCACTTCGACTCGTTGGTTTCCAACGCTGTGTCCGTGAGAAGCCACAAAGAGGCGCAATCGACGATAATCAAAGCGCGTCAGAATCGTCTTAATCACAAGCCCTTCAGCTATAGCGTCACAGTCCATAGCGACAAGAACGTTAAAGCGGTCATTCGCCTTTTCATTGGACCCAAATACAATGTTTACGGCCGCGAAGTAGACATAAGCGAGAGCCATTATAACTTCTTTGAGATGGATCAGTGGGTCGTTGACCGTAAGTGTCAAATTATTTCTCAGCTCGCACCTTCTTTCTTCGTCGAGTTTCTCTCTTCGAGCGAGATATATAAGATTAGAACAGTTTCTCGATCATTTATCATGTTAATAACGTTACAGTGGTACCTGGTATCAACAAGCTCAACCGCAGCAGCTACGAGTTTCTCTATGCCGCTCCAGATGAGGTCCCAAGCGATGTCCTGTACAAGAAAGTCGTGAAGGCTCTCGAGAATAACGAATCCTTCACCTATTCAGAACAGCTTTATGGCTTCCCTGATCGTCTGCTAATTCCCAAAGGCAAGAAGGAGGGCTTGAAGTTCAAACTCTTCGTGGCTGTGTCGAGTTTTAACGAAACGATTGGCTTACACATGGATTCCCCCGTCTGGGGTTCGAACGTATTAGACGCTCGTTCGTTGGGATACCCACTTGACAGACGGATTTCTTTCAACGTTAGCGAAATACACAATTTCTTCATGAAGGACGTCGTGATTATTCATAAATAGGTGGATGATTTGAATTAAACCATCGTGTAACAATAATGTTTCGCAATCGTCCCATTATGACGTCAGATTATACTCCTTATAACTTTATTTAGCACGCGCGATCGCGTTAGCTAAGAGAGAGATATATAGATAAGAGATATGGATACCTTGCCTTTAGCATTTTACGTGTAACACGTAAATTACATCTTCCAGAAGAAGAAATAAATTGTACAAAACACCCTCTCACATTTATCTCTGTCTTTCTGTGCTGTATCTTTTAATTTCAGTTGATCTTCTTTGATTTCTCTCTCGATTCTTCGATTTATTCGTAAAAGTACATTCCATTAAAAAATTGCGAAATTAAAAGCATATGTTTATCAACTATTTTCATCGTTGGATAATTGAAATAAACAGTCGAATAAGAAATAAGCTTTTTTAGTACGTAAGCAAAATCACGTGTCTTTTCCGATTGGAAAAGCCACATGATCTTTCTGATTAGAATTCTGATTAGAATTTGACATTGCTTTGAACAGAATCGACACAATTCGATGTTTGAAAATATTTTACGACGATGCAAATATGCGATTTATAAATGATTATATATGAAGTTTTTTAAATAGAGTCGCTGATGTTGTAATGTTACGATAAACAAGAATAAATATTTATTGCATATGTGGTTTATAATCGACATGTATTTATTTTTACCATGATAAAATCTTGAAATATGAAACATTAGATAAGATACTGTGGTAATATTTTCCAGTGAGATGTATAGTCGATAATAATTAATTCCTTAAATAGCTTTGGTATTTAAATGTCATCAAACTATTATTAATATTTACTGGATAATTAAATAAAAAATATTATAATATAAATTAAATATATTAAATATATTAAATAATTACATAAATTCAATTAAATTAATTAAATATATTAAATATATTAAATAATTAAATAAATTAAATTAAAATTAATTAAATAAAAATTATTATATATTTAGTATTAAAAAATTTTTTAATTAATTCTAAATGCACAGTGTACGTGTTGTATAAAAATATATTAACTGATCGAATAATTACTTTGAGAGTGAATGAAATTTGAAATTGATTTTCATATATAATGTGTTCTAATGAATTAATTAAGTAATTTTTGCATAATACCCTTCATTAACGCCGTTAAAGAGACGAGCGATTGTATCAAGTCATAACAACAGTCAAGTTGTTCAGAACACGGATCATGAGATGAGGACCTTTCGAGAGAATGATTAATAATTCCGCGAATACGCTCTCTCGGATACGGTCATCTCAGACAGCAGACTCAAATAAATCGCCGTAGCGTATCTTTTATTTATTCGTCTAACGAGGAGAGGCATGGAAGTGTCTCCCTCCGATTTTGATGAGCTTTTAATATGTTGATGTCAACAGACAAAAATAAGGGAAATGTATTTTTTCATACGCGTTTCTAAGGGGTAAATATCTACGCACGATAAAAATATCTTTTCGATAATTATATAAAATGTCTTTCAAATGTATCTGTTAATTATCTTTTATTACGGAAAAACAGGATATGTTGCGCGAAAAATCGAGTGTGGACGAATAGCGTATTACACAGAGACGTTTATAATTAATTTTGGAAAATGATTTTTCGAAACATAATTTAATCATATATAGTTAGATTCGTAAAAAATTTATCTTTCACTTGGTGATAAAGAAATTTTAAAATTAAAAAAAATATATATTTAATGGTGGATGTATTTTGAAAAATTAAAAAATAAAATTTTTTTTGTTATTGTTGTAAAATTTTCTTGAAGCCATTTAACTTTTAATTTGAAAATTTTTTTGTATCTCTTAGTTTCTGAAATATTCATCTTGAAAGAAAACAACGATTTTTTCGAAACGGTTTTATCCCATAGGTACACTATGGATACGTATAAAAAAATACGTTTCCCTTATTTTTGTCTGGAAAACAACATATTAAGCTTATCAAAATCGGAGACTTCCGTACTTTTCCTTGTAAGTACAATTGTTGACCTACCGATCCATAATTAAAATGATTATTCTTTATTTATTCTTTTATTTATTATTTATTATTTATTCTTTTATTTATTCTTTTAATAATTATTGCAATGATTATTAAAAGCAATGACTATTAATACGATTTAAAATGCAATGACTATTAATACGAATGTATTCATATTTATATTTTATTGTGTGGTTTTTAACATTAATCATTCTTAAATGCTTGAAGAAATATCACTGATACAAAATCAATGCCTCCATTAACTTTGTGTTGCAATTTCTGTTATTTTCGTGCAGTTTTTTTATCTGCATAAATACGGCTTGAAAACTTTTACATAACAATAATATATTTTAAAGCTTGTATTTTTATAAATAATAATTATTTTTTTAATTGAGAAAATTTATTAGACTGTAATGTTTTAACTTGTTTTTAAAAAATTATACTGTAAAATTTCGGCATTAATTATCTCAATTTACAATCATTGCAATTTATCTCAATTCTGTTTTGTTCAATAAAAAAACTTTAATCCATATCTGTTAAAAACATCCGAGAAGAGTCAAAGTATCTCAACATACTTGAAAGAAGTACTTCTAAAGGAACGTGAATTATTTTCGAATAAAACCAACACGATTGCCGGACTGATAATGTGTCAAAGGGGAGACAAAATTATCAATATATAAAGATAATTATTACACAAATAACGGAAAGATTGGCGACCGGTTATCGGTATTTCTTGGATATATTACCTCATTAAGGGTACGGCAATCATGTATCTTGAACTTTTTATCTCGCTAGAGACTAGTATATAATGCAGTTCACGGTAGTTACAGTGAGCCGATCGTCCGCGAAGCAAGCACGAGGATGAAAGCGATTGCGTTGTTCCTGGCGGCTGTATGCCTGGCTCAGGCCACGCAAGTGCCTGTCCACACCGCCGACAAGACCTACCTGGTCAAGCAGAAGAACATCTACGAGCTATTCTGGCACGTCGACCAACCCACCGTCTATCACCCGGAGCTCTACCAAAAGGCGCGATCCTTCAACTTCGAAGACAACGTCGCTTCGTTCAACGATCAGGTATATTGGATGCAGTAGTTGATCAGAGCCATATATACTTAAAATAATAATGAAACTATGAAAACATATTTTGTACATTATTAATGATTGTTAATTAAGAATGCAACAAACACCAGTAACATATAACAGTTATATAACAGTCATATAACATGCAACAGTTATATAACTGTTATATTGGTGAGTGTGAAATTACAACTAACAGTTATATAAATGTTACTTGGTGTTTGCTGGGAAGACAATAGAGAAGATAGATTTTTATAACAAAATTTATAACATTTTACTTATTTATCGAACGAGAAGCTGTTGAAACCCCAGAATAATTCGTTGCACCCCTGCTTTAACAAGTCTATAATTCTTTCGATGGTCTGGTTGTTCTAGGTAGCGGTTACCGAGTTCCTACAGCGATTGAAACACGGAATAATCCCGCGAGGAGTGGTGTTCTCCGGCCCCCAACATTTCCATGAAGCGGTCAACCTGTTCCATGTCTTCCATAGCGCCAAGGATTTTGACACCTTCTATAATGCTGCCGTTTGGGCGCGTTTCAATGTGAATGAATACGTGTATATTTACGCGTTGAGCGTTGCCGTCCTGCATCGCCCCGACACCAAACACATCCGTGTACCCCCGGCTTACGAAGTACTCCCCTATTACTTCTTCAACGAGGAAGTTATACATCAGGCCCATCACATCGCCTTGGGCAACACGCAAAGTTAGTACACTAGTCAAACCGAATTATATTTATTTTATTCTTAAATTATTCCATTTTCTTACATCAGTTAATAATCTCGCTTCAAATTTCTCTAATATATTTAATTTATGCCCGAGAATTAAAGTTTTTCAGAAAAATAGCTTCATAAGAATTCTACACTCTTTTTCCAAGATATTAATTATCAGTATGCTAAAAATAGAACGTTACTTCTTTAGATTAGAAGAATGCAAAAAGAAGACCACCCAGCAAACATCAAGTAACATTTATACAATTGTTAGTTATAATTTCCCATACTTGGTGTTTGCTGGGTATCTATTTCTGTTTAGGAAATATTTGTTTATACATTTCCTTTGTCTATAGTAGAACAAAGTCGCTCAGACCAACCGAGCAATTGTAACAAGTATGCCATTACATTGAAATATTAATTGAAGTCATTCGGTTTCAGATGCCGTGAAAAAAACAGTCGGAAGTGTAGATTACTATTACATTCCTGCCAACTACAGCGACTGGTACATAGTGCATGACCATGGGGTTTCGGATTATCATAAATTAAGCTACTTCACCGAGGACGTCGGTTTGACCTCTTTCTATATCGCAAGCATCCACGACTTCCCACACTGGCTAAACAGCGTTAAACATAACTTGCCCCAGTTCGTCCGCGGCGAATTGTATTTGTACTTGCACCATCAGATTCTCGCTCGTTATAATCTGGAGAGACTGTCGCACAATGTCGGCGAAGTCGATTACGTTGACGTAAACAGGCCCGTCGTTCCTTATTATCCGACGCTGCAACATCCCAATGGAGCATCGTTCCCCCAACGTCCCGTTGGTTTCGAGATTCCTGTTCACGTGCACGAGGATGTCCAGGTTGGTAATATGTCGAAACTAAGATGACCCAGAAACATCGAAAGGGTGTTCCAGAGATGGAGGATATCCTTTGGATGTTGTCTGGAAAGTTGTTTGGAAAATAGCTTTCGTTAATGAGGGCGTTGTTACTAATGATAATCGAATGGAATCATTATTTATTAATAAACTAAATCATTAATTATTTTTTTACGATTATTCGACACAGGCTCTGCAGGATGCCCATGTTCGCATTTCCGATGCCATTGCCAGCGGCCATATCGTTGACGCGAACGGCAAGCCAATCGATATTTACAAGACCGTGGACGGTCTCAATCAACTCGGCAACATTATCCAAGGAAACGCCGATTCCGTCAATCCCGGGTACTATGGACACTTGGACGTATTGTACAGGAAAGTCTTTGGGGTAACCCCGGTACACCACACCACCTCGAACCACGTTGTCCCTAGCGCTCTTGACCTGTTGAGCACCCGTTTGAGAGATCCTCTGTTCTATGGAATATACAAGAATATTGTTAGCTACTGGACGAAGTAAGTTTAAGCAAACTCTGTCGATACAATTGAAGAATTTTGCAAACCCAAACCGATACAATTGAGGAATTTTGGGATTAATTATTCAACATGTTGTCGTAGATACAAGCAACACTTGCCGAAATACACACACGAGGAACTCGTCTTCCCAGGCGTGCATGTCGAATCCGTCACCGTTGACAAACTGGTAACATTCTTCGACCATTTCGACTCCTTGATCAACAACGCTGTGTCCGTGAGCAGCCACAAAGAGGCGCAATCGACGGTGATCAAAGCGCGTCAGAACCGTCTTAATCACAAGCCCTTCAGTTTTCACATCACAGTCCACAGCGACAAGAACGTCAAGGCGATCGTTCGCGTTTTCATTGGACCCAAATACAACGTTCACGGCCACGAAGTAGACATAAGCGAGACTCACCACCACTTCTTGGAGTTGGATCAGTGGGTCGTTGACCGTAAGTGTCAGATTATTTCTCAGCTCGCACCTTCTTTCTTCGTCGAGTTTCTCTCTTCGAACAAGATATATAAGATTAGAACAGTTTCTCGATCATTAATCATGTTAATAACGTTACAGTGGTATCTGGTACCAACAAGATCGAGCGCAGCAGCCACGAGTCTGTCTACGTCACTCCGGATGAGGTCCCAAGCGATGTCCTGTACAAGAAGGTCGTGAAGGCTCTCGAGGGTGGCGAGGCCTTCACCTATCCAGAACAACTTTATGGCTTCCCTGATCGTCTGATAATTCCCAGAGGCAAAAAGGAGGGCTTGCAGTTCAAACTCTTCGTGGCTGTGTCGCATTTCGACGAAACGGCTGCCGTACACGTGGATTCCCCCGTCTGGGGTTCGAACGTAGTGGACGCTCGTTCGTTGGGATACCCACTTGACAGACCGATTCCCTTCAACTTCACCGAAGTACCCAACTTCCACATCAGGGACGTCGTGATTACTCACAAGCAGGTGGACGATTTGAATCAAATCAACGTATAGCAAAATGTTTTGCAATCGTCCTGTTATCAACGTCAGATTATACACCTTATAACTTTATTTAGCTTGCGCGATCGCGTTAGCTAAGAAAGAGATATATAGATAAGAGATATGGATACATTGCCTTCAGCATTTTATGTGGAACACGTAAATTACATCTTCCAGATGAAGAAATAAATTTTACAAAACACACCTCTCACATTTGTCTCTGTCTTTCTGTGCTGTATCTTTTAGTTTCAGTTGATCTTCTTTGATTTCTCTCTCGATTCTTCGATTTATTCGTAAAAGTACATTCCATTAAAAAATTGCGAAATTAAAAGCATATGTTTATCAACTATTTTCATCGTTGGATAATTAAAATAAACAGTCGAATAAGAAATAAGCTTTTTTAGTACGTAAGCAAAATCACGTGTCTTTTCCGATTGAAAAAGCCGTATGATCTTTCTGATTAGAATTCTGATTAGAATTTGACATTGCTTTGAACAGAATCGACACAATTCGATGTTTGAAAATATTTCACGACGATGCAAATATGCGATTTAAATAATTATATATGAAGTTCTTTAAATAGAGTCGCTGAAGTTGTAATGTAACGATAAACAATAATAAATATTTTGCATATATGGTTTATATAATCAACATGTATTTATTTTTACCATGATAAAATCTTGAAATGTCAAACACTTTAATAGATAAGATAGTGCAGTAATATTTTCCAGTGAGATGTATAGTCGATAATAATTAATTCCTTAAAAAGCTTTGGTATTTAAATGTCATCAAACTATTATTAATATTTACTGGATAATTAAATAAAAAATATTATAATATAAATTAAATATATTAAATATATTAAATAATTAAATAAATTAAATTTAATTAATTAAATAAAAATTATTATATATTTATTATTAAAAAATATTCTAATTAATTCTAAATGCACAGTGTATGTGTTGTATAAAAATATATTAACTGGTCGAATAATTACTTTGAGAGTGAATGAAATTGATTTTCATATATAATGTGTTCTAATGAATTAATTAAGTAATTTTTGCACAATACCCTTAACATCCTCAAAGAGACGGGCGATTGTATCAAGTCATATCAACAGCCAGGTTGTGCAGAGCAATTATCACGGGTCATGAGATGAGGACCTTTCGAGAGAATGATTAATAATTCCGCGAATATGCTCTCTCGGCAATATACGGTCATCCCAGACAGCAGACTCAAATAAATCGCGATAGCGTATCTTTTATTTATTCGTCTAACGAGGAAAGGCATGGAAGTGTCTCCCTCCGATTTTAATGAGCTTCTAATATGTTGTTGTCGACAGACAAAAATAAGGGAAACGTATTTTTTCATACGCGTTTCTAAGGGGTAAATATCTACGCACGATAAAAATATCTTTTCGATAATTATATAAAATGTCTTTCAAATGTATCTGTTAATTATCTTTTATTACGGAAAAACAGGATGTGTTGCGTGAAAAATCGAGTGTGGACGAATAGCGTATTACACAGAGACGTTTATAATTAATTCTGGAAAATGATTTTTCGAAACGTAACTTAATCATATATAGTTAGATTTGTAAAAAATTTATCTTTCACTTGGTGATAAAGAAATTTCAAAATGAAAAAAAAAATATATTTAATGGTGGGTGTATTTTGAAAAATTAAAAAATAAAATTCTTTTTTGTTATTGTTGTAAAATTTTCTTGAAGCCATTTAACTTTTAATTTGAAAATTTTTTCTATCTCTTAGTTTCTGAAATATTCATCTTGAAAGAAAACAACGATTTTTTCAAAACGGTTTTACCCCATAGATACACTATGGATACATATAAAAAAATACGTTTCCCTTATTTTTGTCTGGAAAATAACATATTAAGCTTATCAAAATCGGAGACACTTCCGTACTTTTCCTTGTAAATATAATTGTTGGCCTACTGATCTGTCAGAGTTTTTATCATCACGATATATAGATGATATCGGATTTTTTTGTATACAAATTAACACTTTTTTATGCGTGCTAATGATTGCAACAGATACAAGAAATTTCTCATTCTATGAAATACATTTCATATACTTGATTGCATAAATAAAATAAAACTAACCAAATAAAACAATAATATTAAATTAGTAATAATAAATATGTAATAAATAATAATAACTTTTTAATTTAATTACACAATATTAAAAAATTAATTAATTAATTAAAGATTCGAATATAACCAGTATTTATAAAAAATACTAAAAATCAATAAGTCAAAGATCAGCAAAAAAGACTTTCAATTAATAAAATACATCCGTAAATCTAAAAGGTAAATAGGAAAAAAATCAAATATTTTGCAAATGTTTGATTTAGAAAATTTACCGAATCTACAAAATTATATTGTACGATCATAATAAACATGATAAATATAAATACAATTAATAAGTCATAAATGCTGAAACTCAATTAAATTATCATGATATATATATATATATATATATATATATATATATTTATAGTTTGAATTTTCAAGTCAAAAGTCATATATGATAGCATATTTACACATGCGGCTTTAATGAGACCTCATTTCTTGATATCATTTCTTGAAAGCCGATTTAAATAATTTAACTTATATTTGTCATTGTAAATACGAGTGCACAGAACTTGCACAAATATATTTTCAATCGATTGTGCGACTACATGTATTCAAAGAGTACATATACTTTGTGTGATGATTTCTCGCACGAAAGCAAATTAATAGAATGATTAATAATAACATTTTTTCTTAATTAATAATGACATTTAGCACAACACAAGCCACAATATTAGGCAAAAGCCATTAGAGTGATACAGGTTAAACTATTTAACATTATTGCTTTAAATAGACTTTTTAATTGTATATGTCAATAATTAGACGAAATAGTTATTATGGGAAAACTTCATGTGAATTTTCGTATAAGATATAAAAATTATAAATATTATATAAATATTATATAAATATTATGTAAATATTATGTAAATATTATATAAATATTATATAAATATTACGTAAATATTATATAAATATTATATAAATATTATATAAATATTATATACATATTAATATTATGTAAATATTAATTTTTTCTATATCGTCACTTTTGTAAGTATAATTGCTGGAAAACAAACAAGATGCTGCTTTAATTTTCCACCATATGGCATACAGTATTGTTAAAGAAAAGTGTTTTAAAGTATATTATTCTCAAGGGATGTAAGAAGACAATAAATTGTTGATCTGAAGAATGCGATGGAGAAATTTATAACGTGCATTTCTACTGTAGAAATAATATATATTTCTAATACATTCGAGAGTTTGAGAATATTGATCTATAAATATCGATGTAATAAATATCTTGAATTAACGAATGAAGTCATATTTATCGGCAAATAATTAATCGAAGCGAGACGCGATTAAGAAACGGAATAAATAATCACAATAAATTTTTGCTCGAATTGGCCCGGAGATCAGCGATTAATCGTTCAATCGCGTAACACTTGTTCCCCGCATCGTCGGCAAAACAAAAACGAAAACAAAGAACTTTGCCAACTCGATATCGAAGTCTACGATTTCGCCCCTATGACCTAGCGATTTGATTGCGCGCTCGATTTAGATGTATAAAAGTGCGCGCGCGACGTCGGGTGTCGCAGAGGATTCTTGGCGAATTCTCGACTCGACGCCAATCGGGAAAAGCGGAAGATGCAGCTCCTGACGGCCCTGGCCGCAATCGCGGTCGTCGGTTTGGTAGCCGCCGACTACAATACCGTCAAGGTCGCCGACAAGGAGTTCCTCCTTAAGCAGAAGAAGGTCTACAATCTTCTCTATCACGTCTCGCAACCTTCCCTCGTGAACCCTACTCTCTACGAGGAAGGTCGCTCGTATAACATCGAGGGCAACATTGAGTCTTACACTAATACGGTAAACATCGCAATTGATTAGACATTTTTTTATTTACTAATTTTATGGATCGATATTTCATCATCTTGAATATCTTCAATAATCTGGAATTGATCGAGTGCTTTTTCTTATAAATCCGCAATTTTGGTTTTCCGTAAGAAGAGTTCATTGAAGAAATCTTCTGAAGTTATTTTTTAGAAGAATCTTCAGAAGAATTTTCAAAAGAATCTTCAAAAGAATCTTCAGAAGAATCTTCAGAAAAATCTTCAGAAGAATTTTAAACAGAATCTTTAAAAGAATCTTCAAAAGAATCTTCAGAAGCATCTTCAGAAGAATCTTCTGAAGTCATTCCAGAAATCTTCTGAACTCATTCTTCAAAAGAATCTTCAGAAGAACTTCAGAAGAATCTTCAGAAAAATCTTCAGAAGAATTTTCAAAAGAATCTTCAGAAGAATCTTCTGAAGTCATTCCAGAAATCTTCAGAAGAACTTCAGAAGAATCTTTAGAAGAATCTTCAAAAGAATCTTCAGAAGAATCTGTTAAAGTCATTCCAGAAATCTTCTGAACTCATTCTTCAAATGAATCTTCTGAAGTCATTCTTCAGAAGAATCTTCAGAAGGATCTTCTGAACTTATTCTTCAGAAAAATCTTTTGAAGTCATTTCAGAAATCTTCTGAACTCATTTTTCGAAAGAATCTTTAGAAGAATCTTCTGGAGTCATTCTTCAGAAGGTTCTTCTAAAGAATGAGTTCAGAAGAATCTTCAGAAGAATTTTCAGAAGGATCTTCTGAAGTCATTCAAGAAATCTTCTGAAGTCATTCTCCAATCATTCTATTACGAAATTTTATTTTTCAGAGGATTTTTTAAATAAGTTCTTCTTGGAAGAACTCAAGAAAGAAGAAAATTTTCTGAAAAATAAAATTTCATAATAAAACGAGAAGAAAAATGACACCATATAATTTATCCTTTAGCATGCATTTTCAGGACACTATCCATAGTTTCTTCTTTCCTGATTCTTGTAGACTGCAGTGAAGAACTTCCTCTACCTGTACGAGTATGGGATGCTTCCACGTGGTGAGCTCAACACGGTGTACTATTCGAGGCATCTGAAGGAAACGGAGGCGTTGCTGCGTCTATTCTACTATGCCAAGGACTTCGACACCTTCTACAAAACGGCATCATGGGCGCGCATTAACGTGAACGAGATGCAGTACATCTACGCCTTTTACATCGCCGTCACACGTCGCGAGGACACCAAATTCATTCAGCTGCCGCCCCTCTACGAGCTGTACCCTTACGCATTCTTCAACTCCGAAGTGCTCAAAAAGGCGAATCACGCGAAACTCTTCGGCAAACTCGGTGAGATGATGTTAGAAGTCAAATTAAAGGGGGTCGCGTCAAAGCTTCTCTTTGTATAGGTCTTATTTCTTGAATTTCAATAGAATTTTTGAGCATGACTTTGGCCCAAACACCAAATAACATATGTTGGTTATAATTTCCCATTAAATATAACGGTTATGTAACTGTTACATAACATGTTATATAAATGTTACTTGATGTTTACTGGGTAAACGTTGAAAAAGGGTTTAAATTTGCTCTTCAGAAACTCGTAAAAGGATTTTCCTTTAACTCTGCAGACTCGAAGAAGTTTGGTGACCACAAGACCTACATTATCCCGGCGAATTACTCCGCATGGTACGTTTCGCACGAGTACGATATTGAGCAGAAGCTCAATTACTTCACCGAAGATATCGGCTGGAACAACTACTACTTCTACTTCCGGCTCGACAATCCGTTCTGGCTCAAGAGCAAGGAATTCGGACTGCAAAAGTGGCGCGGCGCGGAATATCTCTACGGTCACAAACTGCTGATGACACGTTACTACTTGGAACGGCTGTCCAACGACATCGGTAAGATCGAGGATTTCGATTGGCACAACGAATTCTACACGGGATACTACCCGACGATGACCTATCACAACGGACTGCCGTTGCCACAAAGGCCCTATTGGAGCAAATTCCCCTATTACAAGTACGCGTACATAAAGGTAGGAAATTGAATTTTGACAGCTGTAACGAGAGAGATTGAGGTCCAGAGTCTTTACAAATCTGCTTCTAGGACCTGGAGGACATGGAATCTCGAGTCTCGGCCGTCATCGATTCCAAATTCGTGGTGGACGTGACTGGCAAACTGGTCAACATCTACACCTCCGAGGGCTTCAACACCCTCGGCAACATCATCGAGGGTAATATGGACTCCTGTAACCGCGATTTTTACGGCAGCATCGATATGTTCGCGAGGAAGATCCTGGGATACAACCTGGAGCCGTCAACTTCGTATCAAATTGTACCTAGCGCCCTCGAGTTTCACACCACGTCTATGAGAGATCCCGCGTTCTACCGTCTCTACAACAGAATATTTAAGTTCTATCATTACAGGTATCACTTGGTAGACTTAAAGAAACTTGGGATCCTTTGGAATTCCATCTTCCTCTCGACAATATGTTCTAATATAATTTTTTCAGGTACAAAATGCATCAGAAACCATACGAAAAGGACGAGATCATCTATCCCGAGCTAAAGATCGAATCTTTGGTCGTGGATAAGTTGATCACCTACTTCGATCAATTCGACAGCTCGATCAGCAACGGTTTGATAATCGATGACGTGGAGGAACTCGAGAAGACATTGGTCAAAATCCGTCAGTATCGTCTTAATCACAAGCCCTTCAGCTTCCATCTCGCCATCAACGCCGAGAAGACGATGAAAGCTGCGATACGCATCTTCCTCGGACCCAAGCATGACATTCACCATAAACCGCTGGACATCGCCGAAGGGGCACAATACTTCTACGAAATGGACAACTGGATTGTCGATCGTGAGTAGCAATTCAATTCCTTCCCAGCAAACACCAAATAACATTTATATAGTTGTTAGTTGCAAGCTCCCACTCAACAATATAACCGTAACATGTTATGTAACTGTTATGTAACTGTTATATAACTGTTATATAACATGTAACAGTTATATTGTTGAGTCTTGGAAAATTATAACTAACAATTATATAACTGTTATCTGGGTGTTTGCTGGGTTGCTTTTTCTTACTTCAATTTTATCGCACAAAAAGAAGAGAGAAAATAAGTTGATTTCACTAGTCGTTGCATAAGCGAGGAAAAAAGGTTAGTAATTTTAGTTCGATCTCTCTGAAAGATAGATAAGATTTCTCGCTCTTTAGAAAAACAAATTTAATCAATAAGATTTTCTGAATAATTGTGCTAAAGAGTGATTCTTCTTATATTTGACGAAGAGATAGTTCTCCTCTTTTTCGTAGTAATTAAATATATATATTATATATTTAGATTACAAAGGTTATGATTTAATTAATATATTGAAATAATTTCCCGTTAAATTATTGTAAAATATTCTTGAGAGCTTTAAGATGAATTTTGAAAATTAATTAAAAATTACATAATAATGCTGCATGTTTCAATTATTAAATTCAACCTATCAAGCTTAATATTAAATATTATATATTAAAAATATTAAATATATTAATAATATTAAATATATTAATAATATTAAATATTAAATATTTTAATAATTATATTATATTATTTTAATTGTATTATATTATTTTAATAATTAAATATTAAAATCAATTTTTACGATTCGGAGGTAAATCTTGTCCTACGTTACGTTGCAGTGAACGCCGGCACGAACAAGATCGTTCGGAACAGCCAAGACTGCGCCTTCATCGCGCCCGATCCGGAGCCGAGCGAGGTCTTCTACAAGAAGGTGCTCAAGGCCTTGGATTCCGAGTCCGACAGTCTCTCGTACGTGGAACGGTTGAACGGATTCCCGGAGCGTCTACTCCTACCCAAGGGTAAGAAGGAGGGCATGCCGTTCCAGGTCTTCGTGTACGTAAGCCCGGTCGAGGAGGAGCCGATCGTCTACACGTCCCGCATCTTCGGCGGAAATAAATTGGACGACAAGCCGCTCGGATTCCCGTTGGACAAGCCCACCTTCAATTTCCGCTACAACGGCACGAACATGTTGCTGAAGGACGTTACGATCTACCACAAGGACGAGATGGAGCTGAATGTCACTCATTGAGAGCATGCCGCCATCATTCGATTTAACGTGACATACATTCGCGACTAGACGCATTTGAGTTTATATACAGGGTGTCCCAAAACTCATAATCAGTCTTTCAAAGACAGATTCCTGGGATCATTTGGAGACGATTTTTCCTCAGCGAAAATGTCGATGAAGGCCATCATTTTGTTGCATGTTCCCAATTTTTGTCATCGTATATCTTTGCGATTAAGCCTTAAATTAAAACTCAACTAGAGTAAACTCTATTTAAAATTAATTGAAGAATGTGATTTTGTTAATATTTTATTTCTACAAAGCTTAATTTACGAAAAACCCCTTATTTTCAATCGCTTATAATTCGAAAATTATTAGTGCCTCGACATTTTCATTGAGGAAAAATCGTCTTCAGACGATCTCAGGAATCTGTCTTTGAAAGATTGATTATGAGTTTCGGGACATCATGTATATTAGAGATTTCATTCGGAAAACATTTTGACCGTCATTCATAGAGAAGATGAAAAATCTCAAGTTATAGTGATTATTTATAACGATTATATCTTTAGAATTTAATAATTCATAGCTCGATAAGTTACTTATTGTATTTTCTTTTATAAATTCTAATCTTAGAATTATTGTGATATAATTAAATATATATAATTAAATATATATATTACATATTTAGATTACAAAGGTTATGATTTAATTAATATATTGAAATAATTTCCTGTTAAATTATTGTAAAATATTTTCGAGAGCTTTAAGATGAATTTTGAAACTTAATTAAAAATTACATAATAATGCTGCATGTTTCAATTATTAAATTCAACCTATCAAGCTTAATATTAAATATTATATATTAATAATATTAAATATATTAATAATATTAAATATATTAAATAATATATTAATAATATTAAATAATATATTAATAATATATTAATAATATTAAATATTAAATATTTTAATAATTATATTATATTATTTTAATTGTATTATATTATTTTAATAATTAAATATTAAAATCAATTTTTTTTAAAAATATCTTGCAAAATATTCATTTAACATTTTTAATTTATTTTTGCGCAAGGAAATTATTACTTATCTAGTACTGCAATTTTGTGGCCGTGTTATAATTTTTATTTAACTTTTATTTAATTTAAATTTTATTAATTAAACTAATAATTAAATTAATAATTAGGGTTATTAATTAAACTAATAATTAAACTAATAATTAGGTTTTTTTTTAATTGGTTCAAGTCCACCTACCTTTTCACCACCGTACGACGGTCAAGTACGCGGCCGAGGTGAAGGTAAGTGGCTTCTTCGAGCGATGCAGGTGACGAGAAATTCAGTTTTGCTATAACCGTTGGCCGGTAGATACGTAAAATCTAACCGCGACTCTCGAGTTAGTGTCCGCGAGAATTTGACCTTCGCAAAACTTTCCATCTTCCCCTTGTTACCTGTCCCCCTGATACTGGACTAACTCGCGATGGAATTTCGCACGTTTGTCGTAAGTTCCTTTTTTTTTTAAATTAAATAATTTATTTTTTATAACCACGATATCAAGGATTGAGTGTGAATCGCTCCTTCTTGCGTCTTCTTTAATTTATGGATGCTTTGAAGCTAAATTTCTTTACAAAAAATTTAACAAATTGTTTTTTTGTTTAATTTAAATTTAATTTTAACGAATGTTTTGTCATTTCCTAGATCTATATCAATTTTTTGCTTAAAAAATAAAATAGAGAAAAGGTGTTAATATTAAATATTAAATAAATACATTAATTATATAAACAAAAAAGTTTTTAATATTTATATTTAATATATATATATATTTACATAAATTTATTTATGTAAATCTATAGATCTCTTATTCTTCCGATGAAATAAATTTAAACTTAAAATTGAGCTAAGAATCCGTAAATAAAAAGAAGAAGAAGAAATTGTGCTTTTCTCAGAAGCAATTAATAAGAAACTTATAAGAAATCGGAACAAAAGGGCGATCGCAAATAAAAATTCATAAGAGAAAGAAATAGAAGAAAAAAATGACAGAAAAGAAGACATTTAACACGATTATAAATTTCAGATTAATTGCAAAATTAGACGCTAAGGGAAGCGATAAGAGCCATTGCCTTTTCTATAAGTGATCGAATTAAAAAAGAAAAAATTAATTTGAGTGAAAAAAATTAAAAAAATTAAACTTTTCAACTCAAATTTCTTTTCTACTCAAATTTAATTTTTTTAATCGATAAATTAAAAAAATTACAACGCTCGAGTTGCGTTTCTTTTTCAACAAACAATGTCAGGCATCCGGCCTGTCATCCGGGCTATGCCCCGCTAAATGAGAATCGAGTCTACCGTTTCTGTCGATACCGGTTCGGAGACGTCATTGTCCTCGTAACTGTATCGTAACTTCCTAACGCTCGAATCTACTGCAAGAAAGTAGGACGGACGTCCACCTTGTGCAGGCAACGTGGAAAGAATTCCTACATTAAAAATCCTCAAGCCTCATCGAGCCAGCGTCTAATAAAGAGCCGTTCGCTAATTGATAATTGCATTTCGCTACATGAGCAGTAAATCGCGGAAATTAAGTACATCTGACGACTGAGCTATCGCATTATGATTGGACTCTGCCATATTTAACGTCGATATTTTCTAAGTTAATTTTAATTTTAGGTTAAAATTGATTTTAATTTTAATTTAATTTTAAATTAGAATTAATTTTAATTTTAATTTAATTTTAAATTGGAAGTAATTTTAATTTTAATTTAATTTCAATTTTAAGTTAAAATCTCCCTCTCTCAATAGAACCTACTTCCCCTTAGAAAGAGACATCAATGAATGTCTAATTTAAAATTAAATTAAAATTAGAATTAATTTTAATTTTAATTTAATTTTGAATTGGAATTAATTTTAATTTTAATTTAATTTCAATTTTAAGTTAAAATCTCCCTCTTCCAATAGAACCTACTTCCCCTTAGAAAGAGACATCAATGAATGTCTAATTTAAAATTAAATTAAAATTAGAATTAATTTTAATTTTAATTTAATTTTGAATTGGAATTAATTTTAATTTTAATTTAATTTCAATTTTAAGTTAAAATCTCCCTCTTCCAATAGAACCTACTTCCCCTTAGAAAGAGACATCGATGGATGTCTAATTTAAAATTAAATTAAAATTAAAATTAATTTTAATTTTAATTTAATTTTAAATTGGAAGTAATTTTAATTTTAATTTAATTTCAATTTTAAGTTAAAATCTCCCTCTCCTAATAGAACCTACTTCCCCTTAGAAAGAGACATCGATGGATGTCTAATTTAAAATTAAATTAAAATTAAAATTAATTTTAATTTTAATTTAATTTTAAATTGGAAGTAATTTTAATTTTAATTTAATTTCAATTTTAAGTTAAAATCTCCCTCTCCCAATAGAACTTACTTCCCCTTAGAAAGAGACATCAATGGAGTTCAAACGTTATCGATGTGCGAAACTATTTTCGATTAATTAGATAATTTTCAAACTCTTCTTTTTCAAAATAAAAGGACGAGTCATTGGATCGTAAAATTTTTTCAATCTTTAAAAAATTGACAGAAATAAGGTACATTGTATCTACTTGAGGGAGAGAGCCCCCCTCGGGAGCGTTTTAAAGAAAGGAGAAAGAATAGGAGAAAAAATATAATTTTTAAAATTTTTTGAAATTTTTTAAAATATAATTATTTGATTTTCCGACCTATCAGCCCTTGAGCAAAGCGAGATTATCAGGGAACGGTATAATGCACCGGTTAGTAGGGCAATGATCGAGTAGCACGCGGGTTATAAAATAGGCTGAACAGCCCGGAGCATGAGAAACATCGACCGTGGACCGTGTACCGTTAGCACCCAACACATACCACGGTAACTACGAGGGAATTCCTCTCGTAATCGCGATGTAACGTAATACTTATTAGCCGTTATTATTATGCCCGGAATGCATATAGAGAAATCTTGTACAGAGAGAAAGAGAGAGAGACTGAGATGTTGCGTGAAAAAAAATTATAGAGTCAAATATGAACTTACTATGATAAAAGCAAAACATTACAGAAAAATCCTACACAGTATATAATTATTACCTTATATAAGTGCATTTTTATATTTATATAAGTTAATTTATATAAATTAATTTAATTAATTAAATTAAGGAAAATAATTTAATAATTAATAATTTATATTAATTTATTAATAATTTATTAATAAATAATTTAATTTAATAAATTATCTTCCTTAATTTTAATTAATTTAATTAAATTATTTTTCTTATAATTAAGTTAATTAAAAGTGCGATTAAGCGTGTGGCAAAGATTATTAATTTTCCCTTCATAGATCTCTCTCGTAAACTTAGAGTTTTAAGCACAATTTGATAAAGCATAATTTGAATATAATTAAATTTGGAGTAAAACGGATTCTCTTTTTTTAAATATAACTTAAAAATACTTATTATATTATAGGATAAATGCGATTGTACGTTTATGTAATATAAGATATAATCTATTTCTTTTTACGTAAAAATATGATTATATTACTGTTTAGATGATACTCTTGTGCGTATCCTCGTCCTTTACTGAAGATCATGAGAAGTCCAAAAGTACTAAGCCGATCGCTAACGATGAATCCGTTAAAGGAGGCGAGGATGATCCTCCAGAAGGATATTACGCGTTTGTCGAGTCGCCGAATGCAGAACCGCCTAGAGTTCGACCACCGCCATACATCGATAGCGACAAGGAATGTTACGGTAAGTCTGGAATATGTAAAGAGCGTCATGTTTCTAAAAGAAATGTACATTCCAATATTTTTATTGCTCTTGATAATATGGAAATATCTTTAATATGCGTGGAGGAAAACGCGTACGAGTAATAATTGGATTTATATCTCTCAGATAAAGATTTCCCATCCAGGAAAATTGTAGATATAATCAGATTCATATCTGTCGTAATCTCTTTATAATTTTTATCGCAAAGTATTTGTATTAAATAAAAAATATTTGTTTTTATTTATTAAGAGGTATAAACAAAAAATATATAAATAAATATAAATATAATTTATATAAATATAATAAATATAAATATAAAGACAAATATTATAAATTATATAAATATTATATTTACATAAAAACTTATAAATATAAATATAAATATAAATATAATAAATATAAATATAAAGACAAATATTATAAATTATATAAATATTATATTTACATAAAAACTTATAAATATAAATATAAATATAAATATAATATAAATATAATATAAATATAATATAAATATAATATAAATATAATATAAATATAATATAAATATAATATAAATATAAATATAAATATCAATTTCAATAAATATAAATATATTTTATATTGAGAGATATAAATACATAAATAAAAATTTGCAAACTTTTATGACACTAAATAAAAGATTAATTTACGACATTAAATAAAAAAGAAACTTTCGTTAATTTATGCATCTCAGACTAAATCACAAAAGAATTCTCAATTTTAATTATTCTCATTTGACAATTAGGTAACAAGGAAAAGCAAGGAAAGGGAATTGTTTCGATACATAATATCTGCGGTGATTTAAATAAAGGCTACATTCCGCGAAATCCAATGAATCAATATGTAAACGGCTCGTCGTATCCTTTGTAAGTGAGGAATAAATCAAATATGAATTTACATATATATATCATTAAATGATATCATTAAAATAACCATTCGTAAATTTTATTCGCAGCGCGCTGATAAAGAATCATACCCTCAAATTCCTCAGCAAGGCGTTGCCGATCCTCAAAGCTGATGACTCGTTACCTAAGGTCGCCAAAGTGCACCCATTGTCGCAGAATTCGTAAGTATCCCGATGCAAGCATCTGCAAATTTTTATGCCAATTAAATTTATATTTAAGTGTATCGGTTATCTAATTTAATATACTTTCACTTAATTTTTCCAAGAAATTAAATTAAAATTTTTAATGTACAAATACACACAAACATCGATATTATCAACGCCGGTCATTTCCAAAATAAATATGTTACAATATTGGTGTTCGACAGTTTTTGCTTTAGCTGCAAATTGCACGCATCAATTTAATATATCGAATCAGTGAACAATCTTTTTTTTCGTAGTGTCGATATGGACGAAGAAGAAACACACGGTAGAAATAAAAGATCTAACCCGGATTTGACTTTAGCTATGGATACCAATCGAAACGGCCGCAAGTTTTGCGAAAACGGTAGCGGAGTGTAAGTTATTGCTTCAAGAATCTTATAACAACATTTTATGCGCAGAAAAGAAACAAGTGTCAAATTAAAACTTAAATTATCATTTTTTCATATCTACGCAACAATTTATAATTTTCTTAGAAGAATTTAGTAATTCTAAATTTCAATAATATTATAATCTTATTTCAATATTAATTGTCATCTCAAGAATATATAATTATTTTTAATTGTTAAGGAAATTATAATTTTTTATTTAAAAATGTTATTTTCTACCTAACATTGTTTTCTTTTAAGAAAATTAAATCTTAAATCATAAAAATATATTTTTCTTGATCGAAAATATATTGGAAAATATATTGAAAATATAATGATCGAAAATATATTGGAAAATATATTGAAAATATAATGATCGAAAATATATTGGAAAATATATTGATCGAAAATATATTGGAAAATATATTGAAAATATAATGGCTTTATTCAAAATATATTAAAATATATAAAATGGCTTTATTCAAGCAATTATTCAAGCAATTACATTTCTTTAATTAACGCAATATAATCTCATTTCAAGATTTCCATGTTAAAACTAAAGATATTTTCAAAACAAGAATGTCCTTTTTTATGTGTAAAAATAAAGAAGATGTCTCTCAGATCTAATGATACTCCTTTTTATCTATAAATTTTTTAAACTATTTGGATTCAATTTTTTTGACATTAAAAGATCATTAATTTAAAGTTGCAAGCGATTGGAAGTGGAAAAGTTTTTGGAAAGTTAAATTTCGAAAGTTAGTTAAACTTCAAAAAAATTAAAATAAAAAATTAAAATCTTATTCTTCATTTATAATATCGAATTAATTTTCTACTTTGACAGATTTGCAAATATATCTCCGATATTAAATACTGTAAGCTCTTGTGGCAAGTAATGACTTTTCCCTCGATATTTTCTGTAGGAAAAAATCAATTACAAAGTATCTTTGGGAGACACAGTTCTTATTTATGTATATAATACACAGAAAAAAAAATAACTGTCAAATCAAAACTCATATACTTAAACTAACACGTTCATTGTTTCGTACATACGCAACAATTTATAATCTTCTTAGAAGAATTTAATAATTTTAAATTTCAATAATATTATAGTCTTATTTTAATATTGATTGAATTGTCACCTCAAGAATATAGAATTATTTAATTCTACTTTAAGAAAATTATAATCTTTAATTTAAAAATGTTATTTTCTATCTAACATTGTTTCTTTTCCATTCAAGAATATTAAATCTTAAATCGTAAGAATATATTTTTCTTGATTGAACTATATAAAATGGCTTCATTCGAGCGAGCAATCATTCAATCAGTTATATTTTTCTTTAATTAACGCAATATAATCTCATTTCAAGATTTCCATGTTAAAATTAAAGATATTTTCAAAACAAAAATGTCCTTTTTTACGTGTAAAAATAAAGAAGATGTCTCTCAGATCTAATGATACTCCTTTTTATCTATAAATTTTTTAAACTATTTGGATTCAATTTTTTTGACATTAAAAGATCATTAATTTAAAGTTGCAAGCGATTGGAAGTGGAAAAGTTTTTGGAAAGTTAAATTTCGAAAGTTAGTTAAACTTGAAAAAAATTAAAATAAAAAATTAAAATCTTATTCTTCATTTATAATATCGAATTAATTTTCTACTTTGACAGATTTGCAAATATATCTCCGATATTAAAGATTGTAAGCTCTTGTGGCAAATAATGACTTTTCCCTCGATATTTTCTGTAGGAAAAAATCAATTACAATCTTTAATTTAAAAATGTTTTACAATCTTTAATTTAAAAATGTTATTTTCTATCTAACATTGTTTCTTTTCCATTCAAGAATATTAAATCTTAAATCGTAAGAATATATTTTTCTTGATTGAACTATATAAAATGGCTTCATTCGAGCGAGCAATCATTCAATCAATTATATTTTTCTTTAATTAACGCAATATAATCTCATTTCAAGATTTCCATGTTAAATCTAAATATATTTTCAAAACAAGAATGTCCTTTTTTTCTGTGTAGACATCTTTCTTTGATGATAATATAATATTGTGTTTTCCCCTCGACATCACACGAGCAGAGTGTGCATGTTGTACAAAGCGATCCAAGGTGAACCGATTGCATCATCTTCGTCGGTTATCGAACGTCGGGACGAACCTTCGACGTCCGAGTATCGTCGAGGAGAACGTGTACCCTCGCAGGAGAAACCCGAGTATACGGGTCCGCCGACGCCGTGTCCGGCCAAGGTCGAGTACGCGACCCCCGTCTTCGCCAAGAATTACCAGGGTATCTGGAGATACGTGGTGCAGATACCTTACGAGGGTTACTTCACGCAGACCATCGAGCTCACCAGATGCATGTAAGATATCGCATATTTTAGTGCGCTTCCCAGGGAGAAATGACAAGTCGAATAGATGTCTAATAGACATCTATTAAACATCTTAGACGTCTATTCGACTTGTCATTTCTCCCTGGGTTAAGGTCACACTTTCAAGATCCTCTTCCTGACTAATATCGCAGGCAATCGAGATGCCATTATCTGGACGGTGGATGCTTGTCGTCACCGAGATGGACGAGTTTGCTGGTGGCCGAGATATTTTATCCGGACGCCCTCTTGGAGGAAAATCAAGGGTCCAATATCGGGTCTGCGACCCGGGATCCCGTGGCCGGGTCGCCGCCGCCAGTCCACGACTTCCAAAATTACCAGCAATATCTGCAGAAACGCGCGACCACGGGAGAGGCGCGTAACAATGGCGGCTCTCAGCAACATCATTGCGACGGTGTCGACGAAATGGGTTGCTTCCAAGTAAAATCTTTTCTGCAAAATACGTTTCCGAAGTTACTCTTTGCGCTTATGATTTTAAGATATTAATTAATAATTAATTATAAATAATAATAAATTAATTAATTTGCGAATACCGATTTAAATTAGCTCTTTTAAGAGTGAATATGAAAAACAGCCAGACAAGCATCAATCTTAAAATTAAGGACTTTTACGATATAAATTCCTCTTGTCTTTATGTTGCCCTTCCTTTCAGGTACGATTGTATTACGATTGGTTCTTGGTTCCGGGCAGCTGCAAATGTTGGCGACCGGATTACTTTAATCGATACGTCCGTCGCAGCAATTCCAACGCCGAATTATGATGAGTTTCACATCCGATGAGTTCCACATCTCGAGAAGATTTCACAAGATTTTATTTACTTCGTCGAGCGATTATTTTAATCGCTGTTGCATGAAGCCGCAAGGACATTCATCCATCTAACGACATTCTCAGCCAAGTCGTTTGAAATATCGCGCATAGTCACGCGTTGACATTTACCTATTTATATGCGAAATTTTATTTATTTATGCATGCGCTGTCGATAATTATCCGGGACTAGTTTCTAAGCGCGATAATTTGTAGTATTATTATAATATTAAAGTATACACACACACACACACACACACACACACACATATATATATTTTACATACACATATAAATACATACAAACATAATATTACAATAAACGAGCATATACCGTTAATTAGAATAATTGAGATGTATTAATTGGATACAATAATATAATATAAGAAATAAATAAGAGAATATTGTATGATACGTGGAAATATTATTTCCGGTTAAAGATGAGAAAAATGTATGATAATTTTAGGCACAATTAAAATATAAGGAATCGTTTTTTTACACTGCTTATTAATCTTTTTTATAAAATATATGTATATTATTCTTATGAATAATCGTTTCTTATGAAATAGAAATTGGTTTTTTCTTTAGTATATTTTATTTTATATTTTATCTATTATTTTATATATCTTATAATTAAATAAGGAAAACTTTGTTCGCTTTTTTAGATATTTTGAATGTTATTATTCGCATACATATATGTATATAATATTAAAAGACATTTAAAAGTAAATAAAATGTTTTAGTGTCAAGACATTGTATAAGATTAAAGATATATTATAAAATGTTAATGTAAAATAAATTTAGAGTTTCGAATATATACCACTACATGCTACAATTTCACTTGTTAAAAAGTTACAGTTGCAATCTTATCTGACATTCCGAGTCTTTTCATAATAATAAATAATAATAAATAAGTGACAGAAAATAATCATGCTTTCTGTGACAAAGAAAACATGAAAAATTTATAAAAGGTGTTATCTTTTTACAAAACAACAGATTGTGAATACGATTTCGAAAAGACAAAGTATCTGTTTTGAAAATGTATTATTTAATTTTTGTTATTTCTAATATAGTTTATATGGATGTCATAAGATGCAAAATCCGTTCACTTTAGTCAGATTAAATAAAGCAATCTTACTAATTATCATATTAAATCTTAAAAAATTGTCTACTATGAATATATATATTTTTTTAATATATTAATAATAATTATATTTTTAGACACAATATAGCTTGTAATAAAAAAAACATATTTATGAGATAAATTTCTCAAGGAAAAGATGAAGAAACAGAGAGAAAATAAAGAGAAAAAGATAAAGAAGAAGAAAGGAAGTGAAAGGAAGAAAAGGAAAGAAAAAAATAGAGAAAAAAAAATTTAATTTTTACTTATTGTTTTACTATCTCAAAGAGATTTTTGTTTTTTTTTGTTTTTCCTACATGAAAAATCTAATCCTTAGGATCAAAGTTTTCCTACAGTATTTTTTACATTCGATTTTTTACAACTAATCATCATTTTAGTACCTTTTTATGCTACTTTCGTTGTGGAAATGCAACGCATAATCATCTTAAAATGTTGTCTCAAATATTTAATTAAATTTCGCAAATAAAAAAAATATCTAATTTTTGAGAAATCGGACAAAAAATTTCCAAGTTAATAACAAATATGAAAATTTTTCCCATCTGTTGATGCTGTCACAATCGCCATTTTTTTCTAGTCGGTTCATCATTTTACTTGAGAAAATTATGTTAATGCTATATCTTTGGACATTTTGATTAATTAAAGCATTTAACATCATGATTAACATCATGAAAATGTGAATCATTTTTCGTGATTTAATAAATTTATTATAATTCATGGTCTTCAATTCCTGATATTTATATATTATATAATATCAATAATGTAGCAATATTTACACGGTATCTTTTTGTACATAAGCACATTGCTTCCTCTTTTACTCTGCCTCATAAAAAATGGCTGATAAAAAATGAAGTAATAAAAGAGATTATTCAGATAAAGTTCCACCTATAAAATAAATATTTATATTCATATCTTTATGTAATCGATTATATCGGAGCAATTATAAATTAATAATTATGCGAGTGAGGATATTAGGCCATAAAAAGTGGAGGTTTTTTAAACATTCTAAAAATAAGAAATTTAAATATATCTTTGGAAGAAAAATAGAGGATATCTGTATCAATTATATGAAACTGATAGATATAGTTGAAAATTTTAAATAACGTGTATATGTCTAATTTTATAAATTATTTATACAAATCATAATTTATTAAAAAATATTTTATGTACATAAAAATAGCTATACTAATTCTCCACAAGCAGTTATGACGACTTTCTGCGTCGGTGTGCCTGCTTTCGTTCCACATTTTTCAACCTTTTTCATCACATCCAATCCACTAAGAACATGCCCAAAGACGACATGCTTTCCATCCAGCCAATCCGTTCTGGCTGTGCACAAAAAAAATTGTGATCCATTAGTGTTTGGGCCGGAATTTGCCATTGACAGGGTCCCTGGACCTGTGTGCTTGAGTTCGAAATTTTCGTCATCGAATTTGTTGCCGTAGATCGATTTACCACCTGTACCATTATGATTCGTAAAATCGCCCCCTTGACACATCTGTTATACTTGCATTAAAGATTTTGTAGTTTTATACTTTTAATATATAATATATTAAATATATAATATTTAATATATAATAATTTAAATATATAATATATTTAAATATATAATATTTAACATATATTTAATATATAATACTTATATATAATACTAAAATTAATATATAATACTATAATTAATATATAATACTATAATTAATATATAATACTAAAATTAATATATAATACTAAAATAATTAAGAATAATTAAGAAATAACGTGAAATTATTTAAGTGAGAACCATTTTCTAAAATAACATTTACAAGGATACAAAATCTGGAATAATTCTGTGGAAGGTGCTACCCTGATACCCATATCCCTTCTCGTGGGTGCATAAAGCTCGAAAGTTCTCCGCAGTCTTTGGCACAATGTCTGCTCGCAACATCATGATAATTCTGCCTACTTCTTGCTTCCCTATGCTTATGTCGAAATAAACCTGAGGATTCTGCTTCGCTTTCTTTGGTTGCGTAACATCATTCGTCTTTGCATTATCGTCATTTTTCAACGTCTCCCCTGCGTGTTCTTGTAACCAAGCATCATCCGCCCATACTGGCTTCGATGAACCTTCCTTTATCTTTTGCGGCTTAGCAATATTTACCCTTATTGTACGGCCAAATAATTCCGAGTCATTCTGTTAATCAATATAGATTATTTTTAATGACTTATCGTGATACAAACAAGATGTCATATTGCTCACACACATGCCAAAGATTAGATTAGATAAGGAAAAGACAAAAAAAGTATTAATGCACATTTATCCTTCAGATAATTTGCTATAAATAAAATTGATCAATGATTTTAGGGACTATTGATTATCTCAATAATCGAGAAACTAGCAGTTTGAAAAGAAATCTTGTACGTTAGATTACTGTTCTATTAAATGACTCGCAACAGCACGTATGTTGTTTTACAAATGTTACCATATTATCTATAGCCGCAGCTGCATCCTCTGCCATTTCGAATTCAATGAATGCGAATCCCCTGTGCTTTTCAGACTCATAGTCCAGTGGTATTTGGACATCAACAATCTCTCCGAAAGGTATAAACGCTGCATGCAGCACCTTCTCGTCCACCTCCTCGGCCAGACCACCTAAAAAAAAAAGAAATTAAAATTAAAATTAAATTATTAATTTAATTAAATTCAAAATTAAAATTTAACAAATTTAAAAAGATTTTTTAAAATTAATAAAATTAAAAATAAATTAATTTTAACATTAAAATTAAATTGTTTAATTTAATTTGATTAAAATTAAAATTAAATTATTTAATTTAATTTGATTAAAATTAAAATTAAATTGTTTAATTTAATTTGATTAAAATTAAAATTAAATTGTTTAATTTAATTTGATTAAAATTAAAATTAAATTATTAAATTGTTGAACAAATATTCTCAATATTTCTCGCGCGATATCGTTAAAAAGAAATTAATCCCCGATCCCAAATTGGAATAGACTTGAGGTTAGGTGACATTTAATGCGAGTGTTGAGGAGGATTACCGGTCAAAGTTCTCGTTTACTAATCCATACATGCCTACGTAAATGGTTCGCTTTGTGTTGCCGCTCATGATTGAATTGTGTAAATGCGATTCTGATACTGATGATGAACTCCGACAAGCACCCGATAACGAGGCACGTATTTATTGACCGAGGGACGCCAACGAGCCGGCAGCGATCAACGAGCGCTTTATAAATCGAGTGTACAAGAAGTCGCGTCGCTTATATAAGTTCGTTCTGTCAAGCGTCACCTTTCAATTGGCAACGGACGTCAAATAAGCCAGCGACGATCGTCGGATTAACACTCCGCGTATCCGAGAGGTAAGTTTTTCTTGGACTCCGATAAAGCCATTTTATTTGCTTCAAGTGCGATTACATTGTTTAAAAAATAACCTTACAAGAGTAAAAAATAATACGCCAAGTACGTAAAAATATTCCACCTTGTATGCAACAAAATGTTTAATAGAAAAGGTTAATAGTTAGAAGTTAAACAAAATGTTTAATAAAAAAGGTTAATAAAAAATAATACGCCAAGTACGTAAAAATATTCCACCTTGTATGCAACAAAATGTTTAATAGAAAAGGTTAATAGTTAGAAGTTAAACAAAATGTTTAATAAAAAAAAGGTTAATAAAAAAATAATACGCCAAGTACGTAAAAATATTCCACCTTGTATGCAACAAAATGTTTAATATAAAAAGGTTAATAGTTAGAAGTTAAAAAAAAATGTTTAATAAAAAAGATTAATAAAAAATAATACGCCAAGTACGTAAAAATATTCCACCTTGTATGCAACAAAATGTTTAATATAAAAAGGTTAATAGTTAGAAGTTAAACGAAATGTTTAATAAAAGGTTAATAAAAAATAATTTGCAAATAAAAATAATTTAAAAATGATTTAAAAATAATTTACATTAATTTTCCCTCAAAAAATCATTTTTCTAAAAAAATAAAATCTCAAAAAATAATTTTCCTAAAAAAAAATATCAAAACTAAATAAGAAATCAATAATTGCTATTAGCCAAGTATTCTACCTTGTATGCAACAAAATGTTTAATAAAAGAGATCCTAAATAATAATTTACATTAATTTTCTCTCAAAAAAATCATTTTTCTAAAAAAACAAAACCTCAAAAAATAATTTTCCTAAAAAAAAATGAGCCAAGTCTCTAATTATTAAATTAAAAAAAAAATATCAAATCTAAATATGAAATCAATAATTATTGTGAGCCAAATATTTAAGAGCAATTTATAAATTTAATATGAAATCAATATTACATTGTAGAAATATATTTGATGCGATAGAAAGAGTCACATGAGAGGAAATCATGAAAAATTCAGTCGTACAGATTGAATAAAATGTGTGAATTGAGATCAATATGGTTATACTTTGACAAACTTTAGTTTGCATTTATTTAATTATTTATTTATTTATTTATCTGTCATTTATTTATTACTGTGACTCTATTTATTGCAGGATACATCGTTTTCAAGAGGAAAACATGTTTGCTAGAACAGGATTATTCCGAAGCTACCTGTCGCATCTTGAGGCCTTGAACTACAGAGCCATGCATCTCTTGAGAAACAGTGCATATGTCAATGGAAATTGGATAAGTGCCGCTAGCAAACAGACATTTCCCGTTTGCAATCCGGTTGACAATGCTGTCATCACTCGTGTTCCTGACATGAACACTGCCGATACTCAAGCAGCCATCGACGCTGCTGCCAAAGCTTTCGAATCGTTCAGCAAGACTACAGCCAAAGAGAGGAGCGACTTGCTTAGAAATTGGTACAATCTCATGGTCAAACATTCGGAGGACCTCGCCTGTATCTTGACTAAAGAGAATGGAAAGTCCCTCGCCGAGTCTAGGTCAGAGATCAAGTATGGAAGTGCCTTCGTGGAATGGTTCTCGGAGGAAGCTAGAAGGATAGACGGACAGATTTTGCAGGCTCCTTTTCCCAATAGAGAATTATTTTTATTCAAGCAACCGGTCGGAGTAGCCGCTTTAATCACCCCGTGGAACTTTCCACACGCTATGATCACTAGGAAGGCAGCCGCTGCCCTTGCTGCTGGCTGCACTTGCGTCGTGAAACCGTCCGAGGACACCCCGTTGTCTGCTCTGGCGCTAGCAGACCTAGCGGAACAGGCGGGCTTCCCCGCAGGGATCCTGAACGTGCTCACCACGAGCGTGACAAACTCCCCTGCCGTTGGCCTGGAGCTGTGCGAGAATCCCAAAGTAAGGGTGTTGTCGTTCACCGGTTCCACAGCCGTGGGGAAGATCCTGTACAAGCAGTGCGCTTCGACCATGAAACGACTCAGCCTCGAACTGGGCGGCAACGCGCCGTTCATCGTGTTTAGAACCGCGAACGTCGACGTGGCTGTAAATAGCGCCATGGCAAGCAAATTCCGCAATACCGGCCAGACGTGCGTCTCGGCGAACAGATTCTTCGTGGAGGACGACGTTTTCGACGAGTTCGTCGAGAAGTTTGTCCAGAGGATCGACCAGGAAATTAAGATGGGCGATGGCAGCAAAGAGGGTGTCACTCATGGACCGCTCATCAAGAAGAGCCAGTTAGACATGGTGAACGGCTTGGTGAAGGATGCGGTTCAGAAGGGGGCCAAGGTACATTGCGGTGGTGGCCCATTACCGGGTCTCGGTCCCCTATTCTACGCACCTACCCTATTAACTGGGGTGACTAGGGACATGGAGGTGTACAATAGGGAGATCTTCGGGCCCATAGCTGTCATCAATAAGTTTTGCAACGAGGAGGACGTGCTGAGACAAGCCAATGACACGCCAGTTGGTTTGGCTGGATACTTCTTCTCGCAGGACATATCCCAGATATTTAGAGTCGCGCGCAAGCTGGAGGTCGGCATGGTGGGCGTCAACGAGGGATTAATTTCATGCGCGGAGGCTGCCTTTGGTGGGGTGAAGGAATCTGGCTTAGGAAGAGAAGGCTCTAGGCACGGAGTCGAAGATTACGTCGATATCAAATATGTGTGCATCGGCAACCTTAAGCGCTGATTATGAAAAGTTAGGGATGTAATATGCATTTTGAATAGCAGCCATTTGATTATTGATAACAGATGCTATAATTCAATGCCAGACAATAATAGGCTATACAATTTAATTATATATCTTACATAAGTAGAGAGGTAAAAACAGAGATTTTAGGGTCTTCTAAACATCTAAATTCTATAACTAGAGATATTTAATATTTTTTATATAATGTTCCTATTGTTTTGTTAACATTTGTTTATGCGCCATAATTTGCTGCAAGTTCCTATTATAAACAGTAGAAACAATATATTTGATCTATTTTTGTAAATTAATTTCAATTCAAGTAGCATTATTAGTATCACATACACTTTTTTTTTATTAAAATGTATAAAATGTATTACTTTATATACAGAGTGGGAGTTTTAATGTCTGCATTTCAAATTTTTTTTCTATAGATTATATAAAAAAAAAAACAAATGTTAGTAAAGGACAAATATGACGATATCAGTTTGATTTTAAAATCAAATAATTTCTTTGAATGGGATTATACGTATTCATTTGCACAGACATCTAGATCTCTTTGAAACATTACTTTATTTCAACCTGTTAAAGAGACGTGAAATTTCAAAATTGTAATTAGTGTTTATTAGTGCTATTTAGAATCATCAATGTCAATGATTTTAAAAATACCATTCAAGATCAAATTGATACCGTTGCTATATTTCATCTTTAGTATGAAATAATTTTTTTGCTTAAAAGTCTTTGATAAAATGCGCAAGAAAAGAAATTTTAGAATAGAGACATTAAAATAATCTTTCTTATATATTTACTAAATGTTGATGTTAAACATTAAATATTTTAAATATTTTAATATTAAGTAAGATTATATATTATATATAAGTAAGAATAATATATATCGAGTTTATTTTTGTAGATTGCAAAGCTAGTTGTAAAAGAATATTGTTTGTATTTTTCTAATCTATTTTTTTTTTGTTATAAATTTTATATTTGCCATATCATATAACATATATTATAGTACAAAACAAGTCTTCCAAACTTTATAAACGAAATAAAATATACACGTAAGAAATATCTAAGACACGTTTTTTTGCACATATATTTTTTCTACAATCAAAGTTCTAAAGTATATTTTAGTCGTATGATTAAATAGATGAGAAATTTCATAAAAGAGTTTAGAATATATAAAAACAATAACATGGAAGATGTAGAGAAAAAAAAATGTTATACTAAAATATGTATATAGTTTGTTACACACATCTCATTTTTCTCGACTACATGCTTTGTTAAAAATATTTTTTACAGTTTAAATGTCGATGATAATTCAAGTGAAAAATTAATTATCGCTTTTATAATCAGATACAAAATTAATATATTTAAATTTATTTAAAAGTTTATATTTTGAACTTTTATTTAAAAAAAAATAGAGATATAAATTGAGATGATCTGATATAAAAGTCTCTTAATCTTCCTTGTTCTTGTTTTTTTTTTTTTTTCATGTGTATATTCCGTTATTTTGATAATATTGATTATATAACAACATTGATAATTATGTAATTGAAATTCATTTGCACAAGTACAAACGATAAATTTGTTGCCATGATTGTAATGGATAGGTATTTGTATATAATTACATAATCATATTTTAGAAATAAAGATATATTCACATAATATAATGGTAAATATAATACATATGAAATAAAACAAATTACATACAAGTTGTCCTTGACAATGTTATAACCAGAATAAAACAATAATAAGAATGTCAGCAATTTGTCAGACCGTGTTTTTTAATATACCTTTCTCTGGCTTCTTGTATCATTTTAGCTTTCTTTTCTTGGAAGGAAGAAGTACCGAATATTTTGTCCTTTGCAGAATTTGAAGATCCACTAGGTGGGATTACAGAGGATGGAGTCTGTGGATTTGGCTCTGGAGTATAAGTAACTATGCCATCAAGAATATTGGCAATTGTAACATCAACGTTCCGAGTCTTCACTGTAATATAAAACAGCGGACTTAATTTAATAATTGTTTTACCATCGCGAAAACTGTATAATTGTATAAAATACAACTATACAGGGTGTTTCAAACCACCCGTTTAAATATTAGAGAAGTGGTTATTTTAAAAAAGTAAAAATATTTTCTTTATAAATCGGGTGCGCTCTATCGTCGAATGGTGATATTTTCAACTTCTGGTTCCGGCCGGAAATAGGCGATTCAGACCGGAAGTGCATTTTTTTAAATGGAATCCCCTATTTTTTATTGCATATTCTTGTAGCTTACCTCGAGAGCTTTCCAAAACACTATAATAAATTATTTTTCCATGAAGTACTTTTCGAGTTATGAGGCTTGAAATCATTTCTTATAATTTTACATAAACCGTAAAATATTCATTTTCGATTATTTTATCTTAATACTTTTATGTACAAAAATGTATTGCTGAAATGTTACAACAATATTAATAATATTGCTGCAATGTTGCTGAAATGTTACAACAATATTAATAATATTGCTGCAATGTTGCTGCAATGTTACAACAATATTAATAATATATGCTGAAATGTTACAACAATATTAATAATATTGCTGCAATGTTGCTGAAATGTTATAGCAATATTCTGTGTTCCAATACAGCACAGAATATTCTAAGAAAAAATATGTAATTTGCAATTAACAATTCCATATTTTTTCTTAAAAACAACTGTATGTTTTCTTTACATCAATTGATTCCTCTCATTATTTTGTACATAAAAATATTAAGGTAAGATAATCGAAAAATGAATATTTTACAAGAGATTTTATGATTTATGTAAAATTAAGAAATGATTTCAAGCCTCATAACTCGAAAAATACTCAATGAAAAAATACTTTATTACAGTGTTTTGAAAAGCTCTCGAGGTAAGCTACAAGAATATGCAATGAAAATTAGAGGGCTCCATTTAAAAAAATGCACTTCCGGTTTGATTCGCCTATTTTCGGCCGGAACCAGAAGTTGAAACTATCACCATTCGATAGAGCGCACCTGATTTATAAAGAAAATGTTTTTACTTTTTTTAAATAATCACTTCTCTAGTTTCCAAATGGGTGGTATGGATGATCTGAGACACCCTGTATACGAGTTAAAGTAGATGTTTGGCGTGTACATACGAAGATCTCGGAGAATCACATTGTGTGGGACCAATGGAAGTACTTCGCTAACTTGACGAACCATCCTTTGTATTTCTATGCTATGTATAACTTGTGAATTTGACGTGCTTCTGTTAGAACGGGTGTTGCTAAGTATCATTTCCATGCGATAGCGCCTCTCATACTCCGTCTTGTCCGATATAGTGTGGGAACTTGTTTTAAGCCCCAAAGCATCCGCGATGTCCCTCTCTACCTCCCGCATAAGAGCCTCGTGATCGGAATTCCGTCTAATTTTCAGGTACTTGAGTGTGAAAATTGTATAAGGGACGAACATGAACCAAAACACTTCCGTCCACCATGTCGATGCCAGCGAGGTAACGTGCACAGGCACAAACTCTGGTCTTGACGCTTTGATGGCGACTGGCTGGACAGACGTTTCTATGCTAAAAGGCCAGGAATTGAACTTCAACAGAGCGACCTTGCTGTTAGTTGTGCCAAATTCAGGTTGTATAGCGATGCCGTATGTGGAGGTGGCGAGGAATTGCTTTATGTTGGCGATCAGTATGTCTTTGCTGCCCATGTCCATCTCTTGTAATCCCAGCGCATTACTCAGAGCAGCGGGCAACTCCCAAAGGCTGGGAATTAACGTTTCCGTTGCTCGATGTATGGCAATGTGATCCAGAACGGACACATTATTAGCGATTATTATTCTCGATTGCTTGTCCCTCAGCTCGCTCTCGGCGTCGAACTTAACTATGATCCCAAAAGCGAAACTGATGCCGTAGCTCAAGAACGTTTGAAGGGGATTGCAATCCGGCAATAGCGACGCGACCAGCCAAAGTTGTAACGTTACGAATAATCGCAGTAACACAAGTAGAACACCTACTGGTGAGTACAGTATCACAAGTAGAAGACGCCAACCGCTAGGAAACCTAAATTCATAATAATGCAATCGATTAGACACTTCAATGCTGGGTGCAAAGCTTTGACAACAGTCGTAATGAAGAGTACAGATTTAGTTTCTATATTTTTCTCTGAACATTCTTACCACTAACTTCACACATGTGAAAAAGAACAACATTCTTTCACCTATAAAGACACTTTTGGAGTTTTTCGGTTAATATTTACCAACCGGATAATAATGATCATGATTCTATGACGCTTCCATAGCACTTGTAGATCGTCTTACCTGCTCTTGTTAAACAAATACTGGATATCAATTTGTGACATCTCTCACAACAAACATCTGTTACATGTGAAAGTGCAGTTTCCGTTCGATATTTCCTCGCGGCAACTAAATCGTCACGTTAGATCCCGATCAGACAATGACACGATTTTTACTTGACTTCTTTTTTTTACATGCTTCTCTCTCTCAGCAGTAACCTTCTAATTGATGCGGATTTTCCTTTCCGTCACTTTCTACGATCAGCTGTTCCATATGTCACGAAAACTAGGGACTTTTGTTTCCCAATGTGTCGAAGCGGGAATTTCAAGTGTCGCGCTGTCAGTGACCGTCTAGGGATTATTTTATGGAAAAAATCCCAAAAGATGTAATTATAATAATAAATTATATTTGATTATATTTTATTTATTTTTTTTTTATAAGAAACTATATTTCGTTAATTAATTATATTTTATTAATTTTTTATATAATATATACAGGGTGTCCCGAAACTCATAATCAATTTTTCAAAGACAGATATATCTTTACAATTAAGCCTTAAATTAAAACTCAATTAAAGTAAACCTTATTTAAAATTAATAAAGAATGTGGTTTTGTCAATATTTTATTTCTACAAAGCTTAGTTTACGAAAAACCCCTTATTTCCAATCGCTTATAATTCGAAAATTATTAGTGCCTCGACATTTTTGCTGAGGAAAAATCGTCTCCAAATGATCCCAGGAATCTCTTTGAAAGATTGATTATGAGTTTTGGGACACCCTGTATAATTTATTAAAAATGTAAATTATAATTCACACAACTCGCATAATTTAATCGGTAAATAATAAAATAATGATAAAAATATATTTCTTACTCTAATTTTGTTTACATTTGTATTAAATATTTTTAATCATTATTAATCGCTCTTTATACGATTAATACTTTGTTTTTTTTTTTCATCTTAAATTTATTCATGCTTTATACAAAATACACACTGATTATTTACCAAAACCGAATTTATTTATTCAACAAGTGTAACACATCTTTCATTGAAAAGGAAATTTAGAGAGGACAGTTACATTTTTATAGAAGGAAGATTTATATAGTTGAAAGAGTAATATACGTAAATTATAAGACATGTACGATGAAAAGCGTCGACTAGCACTACAAGAAATATATTTTTATCTCCACGCCTGATGAAGAGTCGCGTTCGGTGACAGCTGAAAATTTCGTGCGACATTCTTCGTGTAATAATAGTAATGACTAATTAACTAATTGCGACATATCTAACGTTGGTACAACTAATATATACACTCATACACTTGCGTCTCATACAATTTCTCATACACGTGTCAAGATTATGAAAAATCCAGAGATATATTTGAAACAATTGATGCGATTTTTTTTTTTATCTTTTCGATACAGATACTCGTGTAGAGAATAATATGAGAAGAAACTTATATTAAAAACAATTTGCATAGACTTATAGATGTTAAAATTTACCATATACTTATGCTTGGAATAATTATGAGCACATTTGCACTTTTAATTCTACTTATGTGCAATCAATATGCATAATGTATTATAGAAAGCTTGTATATATTTATATATATATATATGTGTGTGTGTGTATATGTATAGAGTGTATTCTAGTCAGTAGATTGAAATTAAAAATCGGAGCTCATGGTTAATTGATCCTATGCTTGCATATATATAAAAGTGCAGAGAATCAATTCTTCATAAAATAGGACTTCCGAGAGAAATTTCCTACAATCTCATCATAAGAAGAAGGCATCGCAAACTGCGTCTGCTTTCTTTCGATCACGTTCATATGTGTATGCGTATTATATAAGAAAATGTATGTATACATGCATTATTATCATAAACAATACAGGTCTGCATACCCACATATGGCCATGTGTGTGTGTATATATATATCTATCTATCCGTTCTTGTCTTAAAACGAATTTCAGATGTCACATTACTATAAACATTTCATCTAAACAGATTACATGACATTCATCTCCCAAGAGGATTGCTCATTGTCGTGTTTTAAGACTACATGGGACCCTCTATCAGACTGATCTTCATTGTACAATAATAAATGCTGCGTCCCAAGCACAAGAGTGCCAATAAAAATGCACCTAAAAAGACATAGGAATTAGATGGACGAGATTTTCAAATAACGAGTGCACAAAGTGCTAAGAATGACCTGTCAACTTACCGACATAAGCGACATAAATTCCACCGCTTGTCTTTACATATTTGTAGGTCCCAACCTGTAATCATGTATAGCGTTACATTAATATTGTAGAGATGGAAACTCTCGATCAAGATACAAATTGAAAAATACTTGCCGTTACAGCTATAGCAATTACTAAGACTATGATTCCAACAATAATGAATACAATCCCTCGTCCTCTAGCAAAATCTGGACCAACTGAGGATATCTTACGACAATGTGGACATCGTGCCAGAGCATTATTTAACGTGTTAAACTGAAAAAAAAAAAAAAATTTCCTCCCATATAAGAATAAAAATTCAAGGGAAGGAAAAAACTAATGGGTCTATTCTCTGTAAAAATGCTCTGTAACGCTGTATCTCTGTAAGCTATGTAGCTTACATTGCACTATATGTGCGGAAGATACAGAGCTCTGTATTTTGGACTGAACAAAATCGATCCAAGAGCAATTAATCGTGTGTCTATATGTAAGAATATGTTTATATTGGAAAAATAGCTTTAACTTGATATATTGTAACATTATGTGGTCTTAATTGAATCACCAAGTTATAAAATATATCTTTAGTTAATCTGAAATATTTAATAAATTGTTCTTCAAGTATTTGAAATAGATTTTGAGAATCTTGTATGTTTCTTTTCCAAGCACATATAATTTCTAGAAAAAGTTAGTAATAATTATTTAATTGAATTATTAAAACGTATTTGTGTATAAATTAAAATTAATAGAATTTTGTATATGCATGTAAAATTTCAAATGTGTTTTAGTAAAAAAGATTTGAAACAAGTAATTATTAGTAATTATTAATAAAAAAAGACTACTTTGTGTATATAAATATAATTAAAATTATCTGTTGTAATCTTCTTTCAAGAGAAAATACAGAAATATTGTAAAATTTCGATCATTCATCGTGTCTTAAAATTGTCAAAATTAAAAAAACAAGTTTTTGAAAAAATTAATATGTAGTTCTTACAGTGAGAAAAATGTCACTGTAAATTTACAGTGCTAACTTGCAGTTATGTAACATCTTACAGAGATTGATTGTCATGATAGAATAGTGTTTTGGTTACAGTTTTACATTTTTCAAAGTTACCGAGCTTACAGAGCGAAAATCTTCCAACAGAATAGACCCATAAATATAATTAAAATTATCTGTTGTGATCTTCTTCCAAGAGAAAATACAGAAATATTTGTATCATTCATCATGTCTTAAAATTGTCAAAATTAAAAAAACATGTTTTTCACCTTAAAACGATTGTCATTATAGAATAATGTTTTGATTACAGTTTTCAAAGTTACCAAGCCTACAGAGCGAAAATGTAACAGAACAGACCCATTAATATTCCACACAAAATCACATATCGCTGCTCACCAAGAATGTATCATGGCAATGGGCGCAGCCTACTCTGCACATGCCAGGCATGGATAGAACCGGCGGTGTAATGGGGCTCGGAGCCAGATTGATAATACGTTTACAATTCGGCCTCGGACAGGCGATACGTTGCGAGGAGCTCTTGCATATCAGCAGACAATTACACGGACATCGTACGTACTTCTTCCCAGGTGGGGCGTTTCGTATGGGCTGCGTAGATAGAAAAAGCAACATCATTTCCACACTTACCCCATAAACAAACCAAGTCAAGACAAAGGAAAATAAATCCCCGACATATACCGTGGCCTCGTTACACTGACAACACTTGACGACGTGCTGATCCCTCTTGCCGGAAATGTCGATCATCGCCTGACAGACCCTGCAGGTGACCATCGGCATCCCTCCCTGGGTCGCGGACTGATAGGGCGGCGGTAACTCATCCGGGCCGATCGGCGAGACGGTGTTGACGTTGGACTGCGTCTCGTCTGGAACGCGATCAGCTGTTAACTGTCAAACTCGACGGCGCGCCCCGGGAGGCGCGGGACACTCGCCGCGTCCCCGTCAACGCTACGTCACGATACCTACCGATCGCATCGCTGCCGTGCGAGCTGTACGTGACATTTTCGTTCTTCAGCAGCGGCTGACGCTCGCCCTCCTTGCCGTCTCCCATGTCGAACGACGACGCGGTGGGATCGATTCGCTGCCGCGACAACTCGACGACGATTCCGCGCTTGTTGTTTGACAGAACTGCTCCCGGTGCATCGATAACAAGGATGACAAAATATGAATTCCTCTCGACGGCATCGGCCGGGGATGAGGCGATAATCTAGAGGGGAAACCGCGCTTCGCGTCACCTGTCAACTGGACCGACCTGAACCTCGGCGAATGTCAAACTTAAATTTAATAAAAATTAAAACACAAAATTAAATTAAATTAAATTAAAATAAAATAAAATAAAATGAAATAGAATAAAATAAAAGAAAAATAAAAGAAAATAAAATACAAACTCTCGTAAAGTGAACGAGTCGAGAATTGAAAGTTTGGACGATGCTTCGAAACGGATGCGTTTGGGAACGTCTTTTCCTCCCGTTAGGTTGGTCGCACTGAGCGATGATAAATCATGGACGTGACTGGCTGTGATGACACTCCTGCGTGTTTCTTTTTTTTTCGATAAACATGTGTGGAGAACGATTTGTTTAACCTGATTCGAAAGTTGAATCTGCAACGTGTAGAATAAATATCTTATATCGATAATACTTATCGTATATTGATAATACTTATCATGGAATCTTCGTCGAACGTTGACGAGTTTGTAGAAACTGTTAAACATCTGTGGGACGTCAATCAATTTATGACGAAGTTCAAGAATCCAGTAACTGCGGAGTTACAAACGTTTTACATGTAATTTATTGCACGTTTTATATGGACATTAATTAATTTTTTAGACAGTTATTAGGAGAAATTACTGGATTTTCTGCTCGCACCTTGCATTTGGATAATATTGCATCTTAACGTTTATTATTGAATATTTTTTAATGTGCAAATTTTTAAATAATTTGAATGATTCTAGTAATCTAACAATAATAATTATCTATACAATTGATAATTATAATCAAGTAATTTTGATATTTTAAATATAATAAATTAATAGCAGTTTTGTATATATACAGGGTGTAATATGTAATTAAATATATATGTAATTGTTAATTGCAAATTATATATTTTTTCTTGGAAACAATTTATAATAATATTTTTTAACATTTTTTAAACAATTTATAATATTAATAATATTTTTTCTTGTGTGTTTTCTTTATACCAATTGATTCCTCTTATTATTTCTCTCATAAAAGTATTAAGGTAAGATAATCAAAAAATCAATATTTTATTAGATATTTTATGGTTTATATAAAAATTAAGAAATTATTTCAAGCCTCATAAAGTTCAAAAAGTACTCGATAAAAAAATTGTTTATTGTAATGTTTTGAAAAGCTCTCGAAGTAAGCTACAAGAGCTTTTTTTTTGAGAAGAGATTGCCTTAACACCCTGTATATATGTTAGAATATAAAATATAATACATGAAAAAAAGAAAAAATGTAGAATGTAAAATATATAATACTATATATATGTATATAGAGAATAAAATGTTTTCAACTTTTGTGTGAATTTTCAGGCAAAAATGTAAAAACCTTAGTAAAATAGTGGAATTACCACAGAGGAATTTTGGGCCATCAGCAATGTGTTCGCATTGTGGATCACTTTGGAGCACTGTGGATCATCAGGTTCGGATAGCACGTGGTAGAAAAATGTCTAAATCAGTAAAGAAGGTTGTGCGTCGCATGAATGAAAATCCAAATCAAAGGATTCCAAAAGTTTGCATCGCTTTGGCACAGAAGTCTATAAAAAATGAGATGAATAAATTGGTAATCAAATGTTCTGTCTGTTCTAAAAATACCACGTTGCCATTCAAAAAGGGAAATCGGCTGAAGCCGATCGAATTAAACAATTCTCAAGTAGAGACGCCGCAAAATAAACGCAAGAAGAAAAAGAAAAAATCTAGGGACAAGACTGCTGGTTTGAATATTTCAGGTTGTACGCCTTTATCACGATTGAATAAGGAAGGTAACAGTAAAACAAAATTACCCTTAACTACGCCTAAAATAATATCAAATAATAATAACAAAAAATTACCCACTTCTAATAAAAAATCTAAAAAATTGAATATAACTCGATTAAAAAATATCATGGAAGAAAGTACAGTAATATCTACGAAAAGGAAAAGCTTGAGTAGTTTTATAGCAGAACTATTTTGAAAATTTGAATAATATAGTATATTTTAGTTTTGTTAATGGGTATTTTTTTTTATAAAAGTGTACAAATATATGTAAATATTGTTACACTTTATTCGACTGCTAAATCTTTTGTTTTGAAAACTTGATAAACTTTCACTTGGGACTTTAGATACAGAAAGAAAGGATTTATATGAAAATTGTACAGTTCTTTAATTATATAGTCTATTTCTTGGAAAACAGTTATATAAAGACAAGAAGTAAATACACATTTTCAAACGCTAATTATAAATCTCATCGAGATAAATATTTTTTCCATCATTGAAGAAACATTCGATTAATGCAAATCTTGGCTTGTTAACAAGAGCACCTAGAAAGATATGAACACACTATTTCTTCTCGCGATGTTTCTATCGCGAATAAATTAACGCTATGTGAATTAATGTACAAATCGCATATTACATCATGTCAAAAAATAAATTTTTGCGACAAAGACTAATGTCCACATGTGCATATTATTATGTATATTTTTTATGGTCCTATATTAATTTCACTTGTGGTGAAGGAAGGCTTGTTCACATGGTGTATACAAATTAAAATAAATACACGCTCTCTCTATTTCTCTTATGACTTCTGGTATACGAGTGTTTTCCTGAAATATTCTTCCGTAGTCACTCCAGTGGAATCTCCTTTTTTACAACCTGCAACATCGGAATATACTTTATGCACGGTGAAGTTGTAGAATGTTAATGCATTCCTGCAGCATATACTTTACGTTCGTACACCTTATTTACTTCGATGTACCGTATAAAATAAAAAAAAGCAACTCGGAGGAAAGGAAAATCGTTATTTATGCAGAAAAAAGCTGCGAACGGCCGCACGGATCTATAATATTGGGATATAATGCCGGGTATGAAATTTTTATTTCTCTCGAAATGATATCTAGTAGAAAACATCCTTTATAATATTACCGAAATCAAAAATTGCCATTAGGAATTGTGAATTTAAAATTATTTTTTTTTTATTATAATGCACGGATAAAATAAGATTTCTTTCTTCAATGTAATAACTTTATGTATTTAATAAATTTGAATTTTTTTCTTTTTAAAGAGGGATCTTAATATCTTCAAATAAAAATCTAAATTTAATTGATTGATTATATTATATACATTATAATATATTATACAATTTTTCCAAGTATCTATATAAAAAATAGGTCAATTTAAGAATTTTATTATCCGATATATTTTGATTTAAATATAAATTCGATTTAAATTTTTGGCTCTTCTACTTGAAATGTATTTTTATCGAGGAATAAATAACAAGTGACTGATTAAATTTAGAAAATGGAAAAATATATTCGCTTCTTTTTTATTATATATTATTTTTTTTAAATTCTTGTTAAAAAGGAAAAAATCATTTTATACAATTTCTCTTTCTCTCTAACAGGAATCTTAACTTAAAATAAATAATATTGTAAAGAAATAGGAGCTTTAAAAAAATGATTTCCCTTACATTATTAAATTTTTCCAAGTATCTATATAAAAAAATAGGTCAATTTAAGAATTTTAATATTTGATATATTTTGATTTAAATATAAATTCGATTTAAATTTTTGACTCTTCTACTTGAAATGTATTTTTATCGAGGATAAATAACAAGTGATTAAATTTAAAATGGAAAAATATATTCGCTTCTTTTTTGTTATATATTTTTTTAAAATTCTTGTTAAAAGAGAAAAATCATTTTATACAATTTCTCTTTCTTTCTAACAGGAATCTTAGTTAAAATAAATAATATTGTAAAGAAACAGGAGCTTTAAAAAAATGATTTCCCTTACATTATTAAATTTTTCCAAGTATCTATATAAAAAATAGGTCAATTTAAGAATTTTAATATCCGATATATTTTGATTTAAATATAAAATCAATTTAAATTTTTGGCTCTTGTACTTGAAATGTATTTTTATCGAGGAATAAATAACAAGTGTTTAAATTTACAATGGAAAAATACATTCGTTTCTTTTTTATTATATATTTTTAAAAAATTCTTGTTAAAAGAGAAAAATCAATTTATACAATTTCTCTTTCTAACAGGAATCGTAGCTAAAATAAATAAAAGAACGCGTTTATTAAATAAACGCGTTCTTATGGTTTAAGAATAAACCATCTACATCGTGTTCCTTTATTTGTTATTACATAATACGTGCGCATAAAAAAACTTGCGCTGGCTCTCATTGCCTTGATTATTTTTATTTAATTTAAATTTTTAGAGCCATTTATTATTATTATTTTTATTATACTAAAATAAATAATCTTGTAAAGAAACAGGAGCTGTGAAAAAATGTGAAAATGATTTCTCCTACATTATTAAATTACACAGTACAAGTACAGTATGAAAATTATATATTAAACTATATATTAAATTATATATTAAATTATAAATCGAATCTTATAAAATGATTTCTTGTTAACATTTTCCAGATGGTCCATTTTTCACAAAAATGCTTGGAAAAAAAGGATCGTCCAAGCGCGACGATATACCTCGGAAGATTGACGCAAGGTACGGCCGTTCGACAGCATCATTCGACGGAAGGTCTATTCACCTTTTACGATTTTCGGCGCAGGAAAGTCTCGTGCACGCAGGAATTCTACTTTCATGCAACTGCTGTTAATTCGGTCAGTGGGTCGAAAAGGCCGGGAGGGAGGCGAGTCGTCGAGAGAAAGAGAGAGAGAGAAAAAAAAATAAAGAAGAGAGGAGCCGTGTTAGTCACCTGAATGCACGCCTCGAGATAATCTCGCTCGGACATTTCCTGGTCCTTCGCAGGGGGAACCTTTCCCCGTCGGCGCAGCTCTTGCTTGGCGTCGTTCAAGTCAAAGATCGTCACCGGGTCCAGCCTGCCCTTGAGCACCAGGCCCGCCAAGTACTCAATGTAGTGCTGCCTAAGGGGGAAAAGTACCCAGAGATTTTAGTCAGGCACGAGGGATGCCCCAAAACCCGCGCTTTACCTCGACCAGGTCGTTCCTGTAATGCTGGGGGTCGCGACCGTACCAGTTCGGGGGTGGTTTCAGCCCCGCGCGTCGCACGCACGTTTCGAGATCGTCCACGTTTAGCAAGGGCAGCGGTTCCAACCGCGTCATACGGATCTTTCGAACTAGATACTCGACGTAATGGATCCTGAATGACATGGAGGATCTCTCGTTAGCGTTCGAGCGGATTCTCCTTGCCGAAGAATCGCCCGGGATCGCCCCCTCCCCCGGAAATTGGGAGGGTGAGCGAACTTTCTAACGCGGAATCGTCGCGGAATGTATCGTATGTATCGCTCGGATTTTCCTTCAAAGCCATTTAGGTTCTCTTCTGATAGCGAAGAATTTAATTAAACGAATAATTTCATTCTTTATCTACAATATCGACCATCTTGATTGAAATTTATACTTGAAAAGGACCACAATCAAATGGTCGAAACGTCGTATGTTTGAATAATAAAGAATTTGATAAATAAGAAATTTGTGCTGGTAAGTCGTTTCTACATATGATCCCCAATAGCCAAGTCTGCTAAAGCAGATCTTGTCAGGGAATCTTACAAATTGTTGTCGACAGAAAGATTACAGAATCGATGCAAGTTCTGATATATCATGTGATGTCGGCAGAATGTCAACAGAAATATAACAAAGCTTGTTAACATAATCAGTTACCAGATTGGCAGCAAAAATCGAACAGATTCTGCCGACATAACTTAGTGGCAGATTGGTGACAGAAATTGAACAAGATCTGTGCGATGCAATTTGATAACAGATTGTCGGCAAAAATCGAGCAGGATCTGCGCATACAATCTCTGATAGTAGATTGATGGCAGAAATGGAACAGGGTTTGCATGATTCGATAGTTCCTTCACTTACCGCTACGTGAGCTGTACTTTCTCGTAATTGAATTTCTGTCAGAAATATATATAAAGTCGCGAATATGAATAAAAGACTAAAAATATAATAATTATCATTTTAATTTCTATCACTTTAATTTCTGATATCTGATACAAGCAAATGAGAGTCAGAATATTAAACTGGATTGGAATCAATATGATAAATGAAAAATTATTCATGTACTGCCTATTTGAGGTATAAAGCAAGAATTTAATTCTAAATATAATAAATTACATCTCAAGTTTTACAAGTTACATTTACTTTTATCATTTACTTTATTATTAATTTAATTAAATTGAATTAGTCCTTCGTTATATGAGATATAACTATGATATAACATATTACATATATGTTATTTTCTAAGAAAATTCTAATTAACTTGCCGATAATATTGTTTAGCACTTGTAATAATCAATTTTGTTGCATTTATATAACATTAATAAAAGTAAGCGCAAATCTTGTGCAGTTTCTGCTGACAATCTAACATCAAATTGCACGCACAGATCCTGCTCGATTTCTGCTGTCTATCTGCTGTCGGTTTATGCTGACAGATTCTGCTAGCAGAACCCAAGCTTAATGCGGACGCAGTTGATGCCAATCTGCCGCAATATTCTGTTTGAATCTGCTCGCATGCTGCTGGCAGACTGCTAACATTTTGCTTACTGGGATTACACAGGTCTACAAGGTTTTGTTGTTGGGCAGCTGGGGATCGTTTCCGAAGTAATTTTCTGCGTAGAATCCGAATCCGAGGTCAGAATTGGCCCATCACGTCAGGATTTTGAGATATTTGAGGTTATATACTCGAAAAATGGCTTTTTGGGCTACTTTTGAGGTTATGTACAGGATGCACAAAATATTTTAGCTCTTTTCTTCTAATTGCATCATTTAGTACTACTCTTTCCCTTCAAAATGAGCTGTCGAATGGTCATCTATGATTTTTCCTTGCAAAGTTACGGCCATTTTAAGATGACATGATGAATTCCAAACCCTGCGCCGTTATAGCCCAACAACCTCATGACACATTAAACCTGTAAACTTTGAACTATAAACGCGAAAACCTGGACTGAAAACTGTATATATGGGTTTTTGGGAAATGCTGATGGAGAATCTGAAATCAGATTTTAAGAATTCAAGATCTGACGCAGAAAATTATTTCGGAAATAACCTCCAGCTGCTCAACAACAATCATGACTCCATTTTTTGTAGACCTGTGTTATTTATACCTTGAATTAATTTATTAGTGAGTTTTTTTTAACATCGAGAATTTGATAAACGAATAATCTTGACGCAGAGAGAAAGTACAAACAAATCTCTCGCTGCAATTTTTTGCAATCAATAAAATATGATAGTCTCTTCGAGAGAGCTATTGCTTCCTCTTTAATACTAGAACAATCAAATTTGGACCAAAATGATGGATTTCAGATTTTAGATTAAATTATTATGATATTTTTATCGGAAATAAAAAAAATTATTATATATTATTTTTAATCATAATCATTTTAATTTTGAAGTTTTGTATACCATCTTGTACATCTGTCAAAATGACAGATTTAATAATAATCTCATTTAATTTGAAAACTTGAGTGTACGATTAAAAATAAATAAATGTGACAGGACAAAAATTATTTATATATATATATTTTTTTTATAGAATATGGACGAATTTTTTTCAAGAAATATTAGATACATAAATAAATTGATGTCATGTCGCGTATCTCGTTTATGATAAATATAGGTACGATATTTCAATAACAATTTAGGAAAATCGTATTTTCGTGGTCAGTTCGCTAAAACTCGTGTTATAAGCGTCTATTGTGAAAAATATATTTCTTCTTTAATGCAAAGTAAGTTTATTCACCTTAAATCTTAGATGTTACATGTAAATTTAATTTTATTTTGAAACAGATAAAAGTTTTTAATATATAATATTTAAAAATATTTATACCTTTTTATTTTCTGTGATAAAATTGGATAAAAAGGACCTCGAGGAATGATAAATTATTGGAAATAATATATAAGTATTCTTAGTTTTATTTTAACAAGAATAAATCCGAAATATTAAAAATCCTTGTAAGTGAAAATTATTTGAGAAATTAAAAATAATAAATAAAATAAAATAAAAAGAAATTAAAAACAGTATCAACAAATAAAATGAAATAAAAAGAAGTTAAAATAATAATAAAAAATAAAATAAAATGTTTTTTTCAAATACCCAAAATATCGAATTGACACAAATGTGATAAAACTAGATAAGATATATATATATATATATATATATATATATATATATATTTAATTGGTTGGTTGTTCTAATGTTAAGAAAAACTATTATTTGTCACAATATAAACGCTTATTTTTTATAATTTTATTTATAACATTTTTAACTTTACATATAAATTTTCACGTCTACAACGTGACTAGAATTTTTTATCGCCGCTGACAATTACGTGAGTATTGTTCGCCGATGAATCTTACCTGCACAGACCGGCGTGATCCTCGACGACGTCGGAGTTGCATATAGTGTCCACGACCCCGGTCGGCGTTTCTTTCTGCAGTTGCACTTTGCACTTGCGTTCCCCGATCGGACCCTCGGTGTCGTAATCTATGCCGTTCTCTTTGAGCAGCTGTTGCAGCTGCGCGGGCTCCTTGTCGCGAAGGTAGAAGAGACAATTGCGCGGATGGTGGGCGTGCAGGCCGAGTTTGGCGCAATAGGGGCTAACCGTGCACTTCGCCCCCATCATGAAAGCTTTGCCACAACCGCAGCAGAATTCATATTTACACTGGCTGCAGGTGAAATGCATGCAACCTATGAAAATTCACGAGTCTCCTTTCAGCGAGCCCCGAAAAATATGTCCCTGATATGCATATCGAATAATTTCGAGAAAATATCTCTCCCTTCCACGTATATGTATACATTTAACTCTTATCTCCGCGGGCTCGATTAAATATGACATGATATTAAAATATGCGTGTGCATATGTATGGGAATATTTACAAACGTCATTTATCAATTCTTGCGTATATTGTTTTTCTAATTACTAAAGCCTATGAAAGGTGTATTTTTTTCGAAATATTTAATTTTTTAGTTATATTGAGGGATAAAAAAGCGAAAAGAATTTAAAACTATAAAGAAATTATAAAATATTATGGAAATTATAAAAGAAAAGAATTATAAAATATTATAGAAAATATTAAATATTATAAAAGAAATTATTATATTCAATTGAAAAATTTTTATAATGGATATAGATTATTATAATAAAATTCTCAATCGAAATACATATTTTCTTCAAGTATAACAATTATATATCAATTGTTTAGTATTATTTCAAGCATAATTTGCATGTTTATACTAACGTTATAATAAATCTTATACATAATAATAATAGTTCAATATTATGTAATTGAGCGACCATAAAATGTTAATGAAACTTGAATGATTAAATCTGATGACGATAAAAAATGGAATCGAAAAAGAAATATAGATAAATAATATTTGCAATAAATATAATAATTATTGCATTATTACCTCCACGAGATAACGAATAACGAAACTTGCACTTGGGACAGTCGATGCCATTATCGGCGAGATGTTTGGCCAAACCTGCGGCTTGATTGTCAGGATCATTCTCGTCCTTCCAAGCGGCAAACTTTTCGCACGAGATTCTCTCATGCTGTTTTTCCCACTGAAAAAAGGAGACAGTTAACATCTTTTAATTATTACGTACAAACTCGAAAAAAATATATCGATATCAAACACACCGGTCTCCGGCAAAAGGCACACGTGACAGATCGACAATCGGGACAAATCAGACGCTTCTGGTCAGGATCGGCGTAAAATCCGCTCGAACACTGAAAAAAGCACAGCAATAATCTCGATAGACTTCGATATCAAAATAGAGACAATAAAATCCCGTTACCTGGATACACCACTTGAAGTTCGGATCCTGCATCAAAGTCCGATCTCTGAGCTTCCTCTGGAAAAGCTCGTGGATCGGCGGGTCCAGCAAGGTCTTCAGCTGTATATCCAGGTTGCTGAAGTATTCGAGAACCTCGTCCTCGTTCGCGTCCTTAAGATTAGGCTCCTTGCAATAGGGACAAACGGCGTCCGTGATGTTCCTGTCGCTAATTTGGATGGTGAAGTAATTCTTCGCGCAATCGTTGCAGCAACGGTGCACGCACTTTAACATGGAGACCATCTGAAACGAAAGTGTATCAGGATAATCGAGAGATCATGGAGTCTATTCTCCATTTATTTCGACGAAAGGCGAGGTCCACCTCGTCGCTTCCTTCCTGGAGTTGGCTCCAGGAAGAGTTTCGCTTAACTTTGCCTTCGCCAACCGTTTTCAGGTAATCCTCCCTCTTCGACGATGCTCACCTGACTCATAGCGAAGCGACCTGTGCACAGCTCGCACTCTTGTTGCAGGAAGGCAAGTGCTGATTCCACGCTGGAACACTCCTTCGCGGCCTGAAGAGCCTCGGCATCGCCAAACTTGAGGGCCAGCAAGCTAGCGGCGACCTCGGCCTCATCGTAATTCGCCGCCCGACCTTCCGCCAAGAGACGACGCGCTATTCTCTGCACACGTGACAAACATAACATCGCTCCGATATCAGTTCGTACAGTTTCCGCATCTTTTGTTCGAAAAGAGAAGCTTAGTTTCTCGTCTACAAATCTCGACTTGGGAAAATTCAATTTGTCGTTTCAATGTAAATATTATAGAGATTGTTTTTATATATAAATATATTAATAAATAAATGAATATTTTTTTATAAATAAATATTTTAATTTAAATATTATAATTTTAAGTGATACTTTATAATTTAAAGTCACTTCATGTAATAATGGAGATAATAATATGTACGTATTGCAAGTTCTACAGCTTAATGTGCGAGTTTGAATATTTATAAAAATAAAAAAAAAAAAATAAATATATACATATATTTCTCTTTTAATATAATATGGAAAATAAAATATTTTACTGTTCGTGTGTATGAATGAAATTTTATTAATTTTTTTCTTTTATTATTAACCACTTCACTGGCCCATATATGGCCAAAAAAAGTGCCACAACTGGTAATGGCTCATATATGTGTTCACTGAATAACTTTGTCAATTTTCAACGGATTTGCATGAAACTTCGTATCCACATTTTTCGGGTCGCTGATGACAAATTTGGGATCGAAATTTTAAAATTCAAAATGGCGGATTTAATATGGTGAATTAATTTGGTTGTTCTATTATTATATTTCTTAATTTCATTAGAGAAGATTCAAATTCGATATGTTCAAGTTTGAATATTTTGGACTAATTCATTATCTGCGACCAAAAAACATACCGAGTGTGATATATTTCCATAATGGAATATTAAAGTTAATCACTAGAAGCTGCTATATTGGATCTGCCAACTTAAATTTTGCAATTTTGTCTATAGATTCATTATAAGAGATTCGAAAAACGCGAACATATCGAATTTGATCTTCTCCATAATAAAATAAAATTAGTTCGTTATATTGGATTCGCCATTTTGAATTTTGAAATTCGAATTTTGAAATTTGAATTTTGAATTTTCGACCTTGATTCGTCTAGCGACGCAAAAAACCTTATATATAAACTTATAGATAAACCTTATAGATAAACTTTCATATAAAATACGAATTTATTTGCTTTCACCAGTTTTGGTACAAAACGTTGATTTCGGGTGTACCAGTGAACTAGTTAATATTACTCCAAATGATTATCTCTACTAACAATAAGAATAATTAAGTTAGATGATTAAGGATGTTTTGTACTTATTTTCAAAATATTGAGAATTTAATGAAAATTGTACAGAATGTCCTTATATGTTTTAGAATCTTCAGTACAATTTTTAAATCGATTCATTAAAGCATTCACAAGTTATAAGGCTTTTAATTTGCACCGAATTAACATGTGTTCTTATGGGAAACGTATAACACGTCGATTCAAATGACAAAAACACATGGAAATAATATTCAGAATTTGTTTAAAATTTGCAAAAGTTTAGATACAGAGGAAATATTTGGTCAAATAATATTATGCAAGTACTAACTGGTTAAAAAGTTATTAAATATAATTCAATGAAGTTAGCCATGTATCTGTCACAAGGCGAAATTCTAAAGTTAATCATTTCGATTAACAAAATTCGGAATATTTCAGTAAAAACGCAATAAACATTAAAAAATATATCTCTGCACCGTAGCTAAGATCAAATTGCAATATTCCACACAACTTTTTACTCAAAATACATCAAAAGTGAATATATTCGTCAATATTGATTTTCAGCTACTTTTTGCTGGGATTGTACATACAAAGCATCCTTAAATAAAATAGAAGATTCAAAAAGATATTTGTGATGATTAAAAATATTGTGAAAATATCTTAAAATATTAAAATATTAAAATTCTTAACGGGAACAAAAAAACAAAGGGATGAATAGCGTCAAGAAACGAGCTCTCTTTTATTTCACATGTGTAAAACTACCCACCAAACACCAAGCAACATTTATATAATTATTAATTGTAATTTCCCTCAGCAATATAATTGTTACATGTTATGTAACTGTCACATAACATGTAACAGTTATGTTATATAATATGTAACAGTTATATTAATAAGTGGGAAATTATAACTAACAGTTATATAACTGTTATTTGATGTTTACTGGATATAGATAATTAATTCGAGATAACTAATCTACAATCGAGATAATTAATTCGCGTTCTTTTATATAATCGATGTTGACGCACAGAGGATACTTATCATAAATCTCTACATCTCTAAGACAGGGAAAATCCAGGATAACACATCTCTTTTCTGAATAATTAAGCGCTATTACATATTATACAGATGCGAGACACGCCAACTTTCTCGTCAGACAATGAGTTAGTCGCGATACTTACCTTCTCGCGTTAGCACACATCGCACAAAACTCTTGTCGCAATCAAACCATCAACGATTAACACGCAATTAAAAATTAAGGGACACCCCTTTGGCGTTTCGAGTCGACATTGATCCGTCAAGGGTTCGGAAGAAGTCGATTCTTGCGGCGACTCTCGTCTACTGACCTCCCGCTCCGTCTTGGGAGATCCCTGTCTCTTGCGCCTGATGCTTTCCAAGGCTTTCCTCTCGGTTCTCTCCTCGCCCTCGAAACGACGGATGCAACTGGCTACGAGGGAGAATCGTTTCCTCGGCGCCCGATTCACCCCCTTTAACGCGTCGTCGTCGTCGTCGTCGACGTTCCTCCCGATTTTGACCTCTTTGCTCCCTGTGCTCGCCCTTCGACCTATCTTCGCTCGTTTCGGGCTCATCGCCTTCTTCTTCGTCTTATCAATCTCCTCGATTTTGCTCGCTTCTTCCTCGAGCCTCGGCTCACTCGCCTTTGACTCGATATCCTCCCTTGATTCTGCACCTTCTTCCAACTTTGCTGAAAGCAAAGCCGTCGCGGGATCAGCCACGGCTACAGCGGCGGTAGAATCCGAGATTTCAAGGTTCTGAGAAAGTTCCCGATCGATTATTTCCGGCTGAATTAGCTCCGCGATGGCTTCTGTCAATGGAGGCAAATTATTCCCTTCAGCTTCTCGCGCGACTTCAGAATTGCCTTCCGCCCCGTTCGAAATGTCGACTTCCTCTCGTATTGTATCGTCGGCTTCTTCAACGGTCGTCCCGGGCTGTTGTTCCAAGTCTTCGCGGACTCGTACATTCGTCTCTTCCCCCTCGGATGGCAGCTCCTCGTACACATCTTCCCCTGTCGAGTCCTCGAGCTCGCTCGACCTAATCTCCCGTTCATCGATCGAGCCTTCGGACAATACGGAATCACGATCGTGGCTTTCTGTTTCGTACGAACAAGTGATGCCTCCCTCGCTCCCCTCGGATCCGTTCGTCCGCTCCTCCTCCTCCTCCTCGGATTCCGATATTTCGGACCTTATCTCGTTTAGCGTTTTCTCCAACAACAATTCCGCGTCCGTGAACTCCTCGGAATTGCATTCCGAGTTATGATCGGAGATGTACCTGGCCGTTTCCGTGTCCTCGTCGCTCTCGAAATCGGAGGAGCTCCCCTCGATCGCGTCTTCGATTTCCAGATGTTCGTTAAAATTCGTCGAATTCTCCTCCAACGTGGACTCCAATTGTATCGATTCGACTTTCGGAGGCTCCTCGGCTTCTCCCGCGATGCTACTCTCTGCGTGATTCTCTCCCAGAATCCGCTCGTCTTTCGCATTTTCCGTAATTTCAATCGTTCTCGCTGGATTTAATTCGCCATTATTGGATTCAATTCGATCCGTCTTCGAATTATCTCCGGAATCGACTTTCCGCGCGATCGGTGGACTCGGTGTCTTCGCTTTTTCCTGGATTTTCAGAGATAATTTCGAAATTGCCTGCGACGCTACCGGCAATTTCGTCGATATGCTTTTTAACAATCGCGTGTCGCTTGAATTTATTTTACAAGGGCTCGATGGAATGATATTTGTAGATCGCGCCATTTTTCGATGCATCAAAACCGGTATCTTTGACGGTGGAGGTACTTTAGATTTCGAATTATCCCTTCCATTTTCCGTCGAAAGTGTTTTTGACATTTTATCTCTCGAAATTTCGTGATTTATAACCTCCTTTCGATCTTCACAGGTCGAGGTATCCGCTCTAATATTTTTTGGCATTTCCACTTTTTTATTCCGATCGACTCCGATACTTTTACTTTTCGGAGGTTCGAGTTTGCCATTTTCAGTAATTCCCGATTTTTCTCGAGTTTTAAGGTTAATTCGCGCCTCGGAATTATCGATCGCGAGTGTTTTCTCCGCATTGGACGCTTTCTTATTCATTTTATCACTCTTTCGCAGGTCGATATCGGTCAACGATCGTTTGACAGATTCGCCTGCTTTCCCGTCCGCCATTTTGTCGCGCGTCGACTTTACGGGTTCTTTAATTCGCGACTCGTTGCCCCGCATCGGCCCTCGATTTCTCGACGTCCCGGTAATTTCGCTGGCCGTCGCCCTCGCTTTTGTGACAGTCGTACTATTCGGGCTCGTGCTTTTACGCGGCGAGCCCCTCCTGGGTACGACGCCGCTCGACTTTCTTACGACCTTAACGGGCGATCTTCTCCGGACGATTTTTTTAAGGGGCGATCTATCCTTTACGACGGGTCTCGCGATTACGCTTTTACGAGGTTGCCCCGCGCCCTCGTCGTCCAACGACTCGTTATTCGGTAATTTTGATCTAACCGGTTCGTTACGCGCGACGATCGAGACGTCGTTTCCGGGCGAATCGACGTTCCCCGCCCTCCCTCCGTTTGTTGTATCAACATCATCACCAGTTCTACCCGATTCGATGGTATTCGCAGCGGCGTTTTTTATCGGCGCGCAATCATTCACCGTTATTACGGGTGATTCCGAGATCTTTATTTCAAAGGTATCGGATATACCGGGCGTCACGTCGCCAATATTCGCCGTAATAGGAGCCGAGAACGAGCCCTCGTTGATCGGGGAGACGTTCTTCACCTCGCTTCGCGACGCGAAGAATATATTGAGATTTTTAAGCGCGTCTAAGATGCTGAAACTCGTCGTTTGCGCGTCTCGCTTCTCATCAGATCGAGAGACCTCGACCCCGGGATGCGAAAAACTCTCACTCGATTTCTCGATGGATGATCGAGGATCATTCGAAATGTCATTCGACGAGTTATCAATGATATTCGTTGATGGATCCGCATTTTTATCGGAGATTCCATCAGTATCTGCAATAGACTCTTTGAACTTTACCTCGTCTTGCTGCAAAAAACTCTCACTCGATTTCTCGATGGATGATCGAGGGGATAGGATGTCATTCGACGAGTCATCAATGATATTCATTGATGGATCATCCGCATTTTTGTCGGAGGTTCCATCAGTATCTGCAACAGAGTCTTTGGACTTTACCTCGTTTTGCTGCAAAAAACTCTCACTCGATTTCTCGATGGATGATCGAGGGGACGGGATGTCATTCGATGAGTCATCAATGATATTCATTGATGGATCATCCGCATTTTTGTCGGAGATTCCATCAGTATTTGCAATAGACTCTTTGAACTCTACCTCGTTTTGCTGCGAAAAGCTCTCACTCGATTTCTTGATGGATGATCGAGGGGACGGGATGTCATTCGACGAGTCATCAATGATATTCATTGATAGATCATCCGCATTTCTGTCGGAGATTCCATCAGTATCTGTAATAGACTCTTTGGACTCTACCTCGTTTTGCTGCAAAAAACTCTCACTCGATTTCTCGATGGATGATCGAGGGGACAGGATGTTATTCGACGAATCATCAATGATATTCATTGATGGATTATCCGCATTTTTGTCGGAGGTTCCATCAGTATCTGCAATAGACTCTTTGAACTCTACCTTGTTTTGCTGCGAAAAGCTCTCACTCGATTTCTCGATGGATGATCGAGGGGACGGGATGTCATTCGATGAGTCATCAATGATATTCATTGATAGATCATCCGCATTTCTGTCGGACGTTCCATCAGTACCTGCAACAGAGTCTTTGGACTCTACCTCGTTTTGCTGCAAAAAACTCTCACTCGATTTCTCGATGGACGATCGAGGGAACGGGATGTCATTCGACGAGTCATCAATGATATTCATTGATGGATTATCCGCATTTTTGTCGGAAGTTCCATCAGTACCTGCAACAGAGTCTTTGGACTTTACTTCGCTTTGCTCTGAAATTTGGACATCTGTCAAAGTTGCAGAGCCACCTAAGGTATTTGACGTGAGCAAAGTATCTTCGAGGTGAGTGTCAATTGAAGGGGAGGATCGTGACGCCTGGGTTAAGTGATCGTGAGCAATTACTTCTCGGTTCTCTGTTGGAGAGGGTGGTCCTTGTCGAGCTGAGTCCTTCGTCGAGCTGTCGGTTTCTGCCGGATTCTCTTTTCCTGGATTATTGAAATTCGCCGCAGAGTCTGCTAATGACAGTGGGACACTTTCGTCGGTCCGTAATTGAATAATGGATAAATCGCCGGTCGTGCTTTGCTCGACGGGCACGTCCGCTCCTTTCAGCGTGGTTTCATCTTTAGCGTCGCTCGCGGGAGTGTGATATGCGACCGAAATTGTCTGTTCTACTTTTCCCGCAACGTGCGCCGCATTCTTCGCCGCGCTGGGCTTTGTATCACTTTTATCGTGACGCAACGTCGCCTCGAGATTATCGAATATTTCGACGATAGACGGTGATTTCGCGATCGGAGATGAAATTAGGGGGGCCAACGAGGTGGCAACATGATGCGAATCCCTCGAGTGTCGCTTCGATTCCCACGTGTTAGGGTCCTGTTTGGATTCCGTATTAGTAGCGTGAGAAATAGACGGATGATCGCGAGCGATTGCACTCTTCTGATCGGAGATGTCCGTCTGAGAGACAGTTTTTAGAAGCGGATCGATAATCGCAAAGGTGTTGTTATCAGCGGAAAGCTCGTCACTAGGCGCGATGGAAGAGTCGTTCGCTTCCTTTGATGGTGATGATGATGGTGATGATGATGCACCAATCAACGTGTCATTGGATGCGACTGCGAGCTCGTGAGCTTCTCGACAGATGATGGATGGATCATGAGTAGATGATATTAACGATTGAAAGCTCGATGATTCACCTGGAGATGCTTCCATGACTGATCCTTCCATCGATAGGGGTTTGCTTCCAGTAGATCTTTCCGCAGATGTGTCGACTATGTTTAAAGAATTCTTACGTGAACGTACAGCCTCCGCGATGTCTGCTTGCGACGTCCCTGTCATCGGTTCTGTTATCGCGATCAGTGTTTCTTCGGGAATGTCTTTCAACTCGAAGTCTATCGCATCTGAGAATATTTCGGGTGTCGGATCCCTCGCGATGTTAGTCTGCGAAATGTTAGCTTCGTGTGTGTCCAGGTTACGTACCGATCTAATATCCTGTTGCTGTTGCTTGATATCTGGAACGCTCGACCGGGACTTTGCCATCCGAGAATCTGGAAGCTCGCATCTGACAATCTTGTTGCTGCTCGATTTGGTTAAGGGATCTTTCGTCTGATTATTACTCTTCTCGCGAAGAAGCGATCCATCAGTTTCATCCGCAGTTGCCGGGACGGACTTCTTCTCGTCGTCCCTCGGTTGATGAGCATCGACGTCTGTTATAGCCTTGGCTGTTTCTTCGACCTTCGTGCTGCGTAAAGTATTCAATCGGTTCATAAATTCAACATCAGCGCTCGTTACGTCAGCATCACCTTTCTTGGGCGACAGGACTTGCATCGCTTGCATGAAGGGGGTTAAAAACTGCTCCGGCAGTGATTTCACGGCGGACATCAGAGCCTCCATCGCCAGGACGTGCGACTCGTCCTTCTGCTCGGGAGTTTTCCTCTCGATGTGCTGATCGGATCGCTCCATCGCGGAAAGATCCTTTTCTGATACATTCACCGCGATCACATCATTCCCCGACGACTGTTGCAAGATGTCGACCTGTTGTCGAGGAGCACTCGAGTCCTGGAAAGAGATGCCAGATGCTTCGCCCAATTCCGACTTTTCAACTTGGACGAGTGACTCATTGTTCGCGGTGGGTCCCGCTGTATCAAGTAATTCGGGAGCACTCCAAGTTTGCGGAGAAGAGGATTGACCTGGTTCCGTTGTGTCGGGCGCAGAAATTGCGGGCGAGGAGGAGGATACTTGAACCTCAACGTTACTCGATAATAATCCCTTCTGTTCAACTTCTTCTTGCCTTGCTGTTTCTATTGTTTCGTCGATCGATGTCGTCGCGAGATCGGCATCATGTTGCATTTCGCTCGCTTCCTCGTGCGATCCTTTCGCGACATCATCGATCATCGTCGTCGTCGCGGGAATTTCGATGTTCGACGCGGCTTCTACTCGATCCAGGCCCTCGTTCGACTTGGAACACTTCGAGCCTTCCCGCGAATCTACGGTTGCCTGTCTTTGCCGCGTAACAAGATCGCCCGGCATCGCTACATCAGGCGCTTGTTGTACGGCCCTTGGGACCAGATTTGCATCGATTAGAACAGTGCTATTACCATCGTCAGTGCGCTCGTACAGATTATCAGACTTATTATTACCCAATTTATTCGGGGGGTCTTTCTCGTGTCGCCAGTTATCGGTCAGTTCTCTCAGGGCCGCCAGTTGCTTTTGAAAGTCGGCCTGCAACGCCACGAAATGATCAACAATTGGTGACATTACCTGCTTCCGCGCCTCCGTATCGGACACATTCGCAACTTGTTCCACGGCTTCCGCCCCCGTCCCACCACCGACCGCACCCGCTGCATCTGCAAAAATTGGAAAATCGGAATTATTTTTGTAATAAATATTAAATCAGAATTGACCAAATTGTTATTCTAGTTTTTATATGAAATATAATTCAAAGACTTTTTGATGAAATATAATTCAATCACTTTTTATATCTTCGATATGCGTGATAAGATATTAAAAAATGAGAATAAACATAAAACACATCATATACAGGGTGTCATAAACTTATCGAATCAGCCATTAATGGCAGATTTCTAAGATCATTTGGAGACGAAAATTCTAATACCAAAATGTTGAGGAAGACATAGTTTCGGCGCTACAAAGGTGAAAAGATTACCAATTGGTGCGCCGCGTTCAAAATCATAACATATCGAGGGGTCCGCGCAATATCGACATTAATAGAGGAATTGACATGAAATAAAAAGATATGTTCAAGTGTAATTGAAACTTTAATAACATTACTTTAATAAAACAAAAACTTTAATAACACTACGATAATAATGACGCAGTCATCAAATTTATTATTCAGAAATGTTCATAAAGATGTTCAAACTACTGACTACTGTCGCATCGAAGACACAATCGCGCTCACTGCAGAATCTTATTTTTTATTTTATATATTGATCTCTCTATCGATATCGATATTATCGCGTTGTACGCGGATCCTTTACGCTATGTTTCTGAGCCCAAGAGGACGTAACGCGCCAATTGGTAATCTTTAATCTTTTGCAACGCCGAAACTACAACTTTCTCAACATTTTGGTATTAAGATTTTCGCTTCCAAATAATCTCAAGAATCTACCATTAACGACTGATTTGGTAAGTCTGGGACACCCTGTATAAAGTAACATTAAAAAAAATGTCGGAAATAATGAAAATAATTAATCGTCTCCAAGAGCATCCACTGACCTCCATGCGGTGCAGCCTCGTCGTTTTCCACCCCGACCGGAGGACCCCAGATCCTCATTAAGAAAGGCTTGAGCTGATTTTTCTGCAGCTCGAGCAAAGCGGCGTCCTCGATCCCAGCGTTGTTATCGAGAGCTCTGACGACGTCCGCGAGCGCAAAACTTCCCCTCGCCATAATCTGCTGGCACTGTCGACAATCGAGAGGGGATCACGATGGATCGCTCATCGATCAAGGGGGCTCATTTTATACGCACTTTCTGCTGTCTACGCCGAATGGCCGCCGCGACAGCGTTCCACACATCGCCCTTGGCCGATCGTAGGGCCTCTCTCGCCTCGGCTGGCGACAGAACGCCGATGCTGTTCTCCCTCAGCTCCTTGCCCTGCGCGGTCACCAGGACCCGCACCGTCTCCACCAGATGCGGCCACTGCGTGTGAAGCCAGTCGATCGGATTCGACGCGCCTTGCGCCAACGCGACCTGGACGTCGTCGGTTGTGAATCCCTGCCTTTCGGCCTCTCGCAGGAGCTCCACGATCTCCAATCCCTGACGGGTCAGCGTGGAAACCCCCTGCTGACTGGAACTGGGACCTGCTTCCGCGTATCTCGGTTGGCTGGGTTCCTGAAATGCGAAAGTTGTCATTGGAGATTGTTTTAAATCGGCGAAAAGGATGACACAATAGACGATGTTACTTGGTTCATGACTAGTCGCAGGACTCCGTCGTCGTGGATTGTCTTTGATTGCGCTGTTAAATGCTTGCTTAGATCAATATTAGAATTATATTTAGTTGTAGCTGAAAACGCATTTTGTGAATAAGCATGAGAAATATATGATGAGTAGTCTATTTAAGCGGTTGGACGATGCTAAAAAAAAGAAATAAAAATATCCTGCCTATGTTCACACCGAGGCTGATAATTATTGGATTGGATTGAGGATCGATGAGGTGGGATAACGAAAAATCCGTGAGGCTTGGCTTGTAAGCGAGTTTACCCTGGAACGATAATAGAGGTGGGACGAGTCGATGGAGTTCCTTCTGGTTCGTTCTCTGCTTTTCTGGCCGGATATCACCAGTTGCTGTTCCTGGAACGATCGCGGATACAGATCGGGACTGTTCGCGAATCTGGTCTGCTCCTGAAACAGACGCTCCGACTTGTCTTTTCACTAGAACGCGATCGATCGTGAAAACAAGACATCTTTTACTTGATGATCGGCGTCCAACAATTTTTTCAATCTTTACATTTTATATTTTACTCATTACTTTGAAATATTCATTATAAGAATTTGTAAAATTTATTTGCTATAATTATATAAATTAATTATATAAATATATAAAATTATTATAATTTTTTTATAGTATTTGTATATCCATATACAGGGTGGTCTCGAATGTTCCAGCCAGACTTTGAGATCTTATAGGAAATTTAATTCTGAACAAAAAATTTCGTATAAACATGGGTCGAAAAATGCTTCCTTAAGAAGTTATCGCTCAAAAACCTCTGATGAAGGAAGAGCAAAAGGTGAAAAGAAAATGAAACTAAATAAATTTTTTGAAAAAAATGATAAAAATAAAAAATAAGAATATTTTTCTTTTATGAAAATAAAATAAAAGTTAGTTAAAAATAAAAATTATTTTATTTTCATAAAAGAAAAAGATTTTTATTTTTTATTTTTATCGTTTTTTTCAAGAAATTTATTTAGCTTCATTTTCCTTTTATTTCATTTTCTTTTCACCTTTTGCTTTTCCTTCATTAGAGATTTTTTAGCGATAACTTCTTAAGGAAGCATTTTTCGATCCATGTTTATAGGAAATTTTTTGTTCAGAATTTCCTATAAGAGTCTCAAAGTCTGGCTGGAACGTTCGGGGCTACCCTGTATAATAAAATGTATATAATTAATTTATTAATTTATTATTTTATTAGATGACTGATTCATTTCTTTCGATTGCTCTTATGCAATTTTAATTAAACTTGAATTGCGTTTTTAATTCATTCTCAATATTGCGCTTACCTCTCCATCGCTGTCATCGTAATACAAATAACTCTTTGACGTAGCCACTGACGCGGATCTTCCAAGAGTCCCTTTCGCAGGGAGATAATCGTAGGTCTACAATATTTTATTCATATTATTTGTAATCTATTAGATAATTTATTTGTTCGTATTTATTTATCGAATATTTCGATCGCAAATGGTATCTTTTATCTAGATGACATATACTTACTTGGGTCGAGATATTTTGTGGTGGAGGAGATGTTCCTGTAGACACCGAATGACTCTTTAAAAGTTTCCCTCGCGTAGCTTTTTCCTCCTGCAGAGTCGCATTCGCGCCTATTTTAGAGATATTCGTAGTCGAGGAAGAGGCTAATGTTGATGATGATGATGCCAAATTCTCAGCAATCGGCGATGATGCCGCGTCTGCCAGTTCCGATGACGCTTCTTCTGCTCCTGAAGCTGAGGTCGTGACTGTAGCTTTAGAACTCTCCACGAAAGGATTATCTTCTGAAGCGATTGCGTCTGTAAATTAGAAATTTTTTTCATGATTTAATGCCAAAGTTGTTCCATTTTATTTGAAATTTGAAATTATTGTTTTAAATAGACAGATTAATCTGAATGATCAGTTGCTCTAGTTACTTTCATATATTGTCATTCTCAAGGTCACCCAAGAATGCGCATTTGTAACGCTTTTATTTTATTTTTAGAGATCGAAAAAGAGAGGGAGAGAGAAATGACGAATAATCTGTTGGCAAATTTGACAAAATTCATTCGATTTCACAAGATATTGTTTAATTAACGCAGCTATTAATCTGCCAATTTGGCAATAATTAGCACGTGTAATCAATGCTATTTCAAATATTATTGATGACTTAACAGAACGTTATTAAAGTAATATCCGAATATCAGGACAAAATTTAATCTTTCGATAGAAAACTTTGGAAAATTTACATTGTTACGCGAAACTCTTGGTTTATCTTGAAATAAATGAATCTTTTAACGCGCTGTTGACGCGTTTTAATATCGCCGAGCCAAATGCTCTGGCAATCATTTCCATCGATGGTTCGCCCCGGAATAAAGGAACATATGCCAAATGCACGCTCGTGCTTGAAACCATCGCGTCACTTGAATGAATAATATAGTGCCTCAGACATGAACGCGATAGATGGCCGAATTTCAAATACGACTATGCATTTGGTCCCGTTGTAGCCTTGTACGAAAAACAGTTTCCATGTCTCTTTATTATTCATCCAAGGGAATACATCGAAGGATGGACAACAACCAGTTGTACGGGCTCCTGACTGCGCTGCTTCACGTATAAAAAGGAAGGAAGAAAAAAGACAAGAGACACATGCGTACAAATATAATCTGGGTCGTTGGCGTTTCTCTGGACGGGAATAGGGGGGGGAAAGCGAGCACGGATCCTGGTAACGTCACTTGAATAACTTGGTACCGAAGGAGAAGCTGATTGTACGCTTCGGTCTACCTTTGTTCCTGACGGATCCGCTGTCGCCGCTCTCTTCGCTATTGGAGATCTTCAACAGATTGGTCCGCTTTTCGAGATCGCCGACGTTGCTCGATCTAGCTTCGCTTTTCGGCTGGTTCACCGGATCGTCGTTCAAGGTGCTTGGCGGTAACGCGCTACTCTTGGTCTTGCAGCAGACCACGCAGACGCGATCGTTGATCTTGTTAATGAAGGTGCAGTGCTCGCAGGCCCACTCCTCTTTGGGGATTTCCATTAGGCTGACGGTTTCGTTGGCAGCGACCTTCTTGGGCGACGCATTTCCGGTTGTACTTCTCCTTGTTGTCTTGGGGTCCTCTCGGGACTGAGATCTTCGCAGCTGCTTCTTTATATCGACGTTCTCTTGCCTCTGCTGTTGAGTTTCTGCAATCCCTATCGAATCCTCGGATTGTCCCTTCTCGATCGATCGCTGGCGACTTTGAGGCTCACCGGTCGTCTTTTCCTCGTGTTTCCTTATCGGCGTTTCGTTGGAGGATGTTTTCCTAGGACCTTGACTGTCGGACTCGAACGAGGATCTGCGGGAGCTTCGTTTGGAGATCCTGTCTGGATCGTCGAGAGCGTCCCTTCGCTGGGACGATTCTCTCTTTGCACGGATCTCGCGCTCTCGAGAGACATCACGAGTCTGCTGTTCTCTTTTTAACGAACGTAACTCGATTTCATCCTTGTTCGCGCGATTCTTGTCCCTATCTGAATCTCCTTGAGAAGATTGTCTTTCCAAAAGGCGCGCTCGTTCTCCGGGTATCCCTTTCGGAGAGGTCACGTCGCGAGAAGGCGTCTTCCTAGCCTGACCGTCGCTCTCGAAGGACGACCTGCGAGAATCGCGACGATGATCCAGCATTATGTCCCTGCGAAGGGACGACGCTCTCTTCAATGCGTTCTCCACTCTCTCGAAGTGGTCGTCGGACGAGCTCGTCACTCGTGCTCGACTCGGCGCGTTGATCCTTCGATCGGAGGACTCCTCGTCCGTGCTTTGCCTTCGACGGTCGCGGTAAGTTCCGTTTTGCACGCGTTCCAGTCGATCTATTCTGGAAACCGAGCGCTCATCGTAGCTTCTCGAGGGCGTCGAGTACCGTTTACTAGACGGGCTCTCGGACCATTGATCCTCGGTACTCACGACTCTCTCCTCGGACATTAATCTTCTGAAAAATCATCGAAATACGAACGTGATCGTAGATATAAAATATCAACTAAACATTAAACTAAGTCTACATTTTGTGGAAATTAAGATTCTCCAGTCATAAAAAATTAATCTATAATAGACAAAAAATAAGAGACTTTGCTTTCAAGTTTTAATCTTAAGCAAAACAGTAACTTTAAAATATTTAATTAAATAAATTTAATTAAATAATTTTATTAAATTAAATTAAATTAAAGGAAGCATTTGAAAAGACATTTAATTTTTATTTATAACATTAATTTCTTTTTCACTTACTCTTGTCGACCTCTAGACACGAGATTTCTGGACTCGTCGTGATAAGTTCGTTGTCGTATGCTTCTGGAGACGCTGCCGCGTCTACTCCTGGACCCTCGGGAGAGTCTGTCATCATCGGATTCGTCAGAGTTCTCGGAGCTCGCGTCTGATGGTGACCCGGGCGATCTTCTCGATCGCGATCTCGAAGCGTAGGACTTTTTAGATTTCAGACTGGGGGACGGTGACGCGTGCCTCGATCTTCTGCTGGACTTTACACTTCTAGCTGGACTGTGCGCTCTCGAAAGAGATCCTGGATAATGCGGGGGCAGCATCTGCGCCGAGGGATAGCCCATGGGATATCCCCACATGCTTGGATGATGCAGACTCATGGCGGAACCGCTCATCGACACGTCCCAGGAGTTGGTCGGCGGGTACCACATCATTGGCATGCCACCGGGTCCCAAGTGTGCCACTGACTGAGCCTGAGAAATGATTTTATTTACAGATTGATATTTTTATTAATTTAATATTACGGGAATTTCAAAAGTATTAATGCAATATTTTTATTCTGATATAAATGGATAAAATGGTGTAAAACTGATTCCGAAAACGAATACGGAAGAATTAAATTTTTATGCAAAGGTTTATCTTTATTTATATAATATTCCATTTTATAAAAAAAAAATATTTTTCAGCATTATAATTTTATATTAAATTATTCCAATTTCTCCCATGATTATTAAAATGTTTTTTCATGATAAAAGGAGAGAATTTACTTTCATGTATTAATTTACTTTGTGAATTTTATGATTTCACTTTTTGTATAAAGAATAAAAATTAAACTAGATTTATTTTCGATGTGAAGCGTTAAAATATTAATCAATTAATCCAGAATTATATTATTTTGATGTTATCATTTATTTAACATTCCAATTTATAATTTCATTATTTTAATTAAATTATTGATTATATTATATTTATATTTTTATTCGGTTTTCTTAATTTATTTTATTGTTTTTCTTTTATTGTGTTTTCTTAATTTATTTTATTGTTTTTATTTTATTGTGTTTTCTTAATTTATTTTATTGTTTTTATTTTATTGTGTTTTCTTAATTTATTTTATTGTTTGATTGTGGAACTGATAATCAATCAGAGGCAAAGAATTAACGTAATAAAAATGAGCTGAAAACACTTACTCTATCGAGAAAATCAAGCGTACCTGATGCATCGCCGGATTCCACATGTGAGCAGCGGTTAAATCGCAGACGCTGGCCGATTGCATCATGGCTCTAGGTGGAGGCGGAGGTGGAAGCGGCGGTGCCGGTCTCGAGCTACCTAAGCTAAGTGGTCTTCCGCTTAAAGTGTCCCTCGAGGGATCCGAGGACGGGTGTCGTCGCCTATTTGCGTCTTGAGCTCTCATCGCCTCCTGGTACTTTCTGTATCTTTCCTGAAGAAAAATTCACAGTTTCTGATTCTACAATTTTGTTAAATAATAATCACTACTAACTCTTCAGACTTAAGGTCATAATGATATAAATGATGGCGAAATAAAATTAATTATAAAATAAAATTCAATTAATTATAAAATAAAAATAAAAAATAAAAAATAATTAAATTTATACAAAATTTATTATTATATTATCTGATTCTGAAAGTATCTTATCTATTTGATAAGATGCATATAAGCTTTATAATTTCATAGAAATATATTCTGGATTTATTTCTTTTTTTTATGTGAAAGCTATTTGTTTTTTTAATTAAGATTAAGAAAGATCCAAGCAACTTCTCACCTGTAGAGTAGACATTTTGTCTGTTCCTGAAGCATCGTTGGAGGGTGCGTTTAAAGTATTCGTAGATTTCGATACTCTCGAGTCCGGCGGTGCCTTCGGGTTGGCAAAGTTGCGCTTCAAACTCCCGACCTTGTCGATCAAAGGGAGAGGTGTAGGGCCTTTGGCTAGCGCCGACTTAGCCTAAGCGCGAAACTTGGATTACTTAATTACATATCGTGAATGAAGGAATGCGCTGATGTATATTTCGTTAGAAAAGGAAAAAAAACGTCAGGTGTCTGGGTAATCGTGACTGCGATGGACTAGAGAGACGGATTCTCTTCTAAAAAAATATAAAAATAAATAAGTCAATACATGTAAACAGATGAGCTGCGTGAAAAGTACTAGGAACAAAAATCTTGTAAAGAGTCGAGCACGTCGTGAAATGGTTATTTTTAGACGTGGCAGGTTCACCTACGGATGATCCAGTCCGTATCAATCAAGTACACGTGTGGTACACGCTGAAAAGAAATCGATACACCGGGTGTGAACATCAGTCGGGATGGTACCTGCAACGGTGTGCGCAGAAAATACGGATCGATACGCCGCTGATAAGAGGACCGTGATCGTGATCGTGATCGCGAGGATGATCGTGTTCACCGTGTTCACCGTGTTCAACCTGCCATATTCATCGTTTCTCGCGGTGAACGATTTACACGGCACGACAAATGTCCAACATTACGACGGCGCCGACGTTTCTTTCCGTCTTTTCCGCGTCATTACGTCAACGATGAAACTGGAAGAGAGAACAGGTTCAGTGAATACGGCATCAGTGTTTTGCGGTAACATGGTGTATTAAAAAGCAGCGACAACATGTGTACAATATAAAGTCTCAACGTAATATAGGATCCAGTCGATGTCAAGAGAGAGAACAACAAGTTAACGATCATCTGGAGCTCGCAAGGGGACGAAAAGTAAGGAAGCCCTCGGCTGCCTCGGTGTGACGTTTCGAGTTAAAGCTACGTCGTTAGGTTGTGACCATGATGGAAGGAAATAAGGCAATCCTCGTGACGAGTTTCGTTCTGTTCTGCGCAGCCCAGACATGGTGGGGGATCCGCACAGTTTCCGCCATCTTTTTTTCTTCTCTTCTTTCTTGCACGCAAAGCTTCTTGTCTTTCTTTCAAAGCAATTCATCTTTTTTTTCAATTATTTTGTCTCTTTCCTCGAGCTTTTTATCTGCCGTAATCGCTTTTTGCATCAATCCTTTGTTAGAATCACCTTTTGTAGGGCCAATTTTCAGTATTTTTTTTTGGAAAAAGTATTCAATATTTTTGGCGTTGGATTTCGGAAAAATGTTTATTCATCTTTCAATAATTATGACATTTTTTATTATTAAAAAATTTTGAAAAATAGTCGTAGAGGGAACCGTTGAGTGAGAACCCAAAAAGATTTTCCTATCCATTCCTATTTGTTTGAATTTCCTAGTTAATAAGTATACTGTTCAAATAAACCGCCAGTAATGGCCGACAACTGTGCGGCGTTCTCTATTGGCTGATCCCAAACTGAAACTCATGATGCGCATTGCCTTACCTTATTTCCTTCCATTATGGTTTCCACCAACAACATCGTATTAAAATCGTGGCATTTCGTTCGTCGGGGAGGGGAAGGCACCCGGCGCGATGGAGACGAGATCGGAAACGGCAACAAACAGCCTCTGATCGTCGCCGAGATTCGCCAGTCGCAACCCAATCTCCATCGAGCACGAATTGGTCCCTTGAAAAAGGATCCTTGGCTTGGGGTTGGGACTCGTTCGCGCGATTCCCTGGCTCTTGCCTGGAACAAGATTTCACGGACGCAGTTTCAGGCGAGGATGCAGTGGCCTACCTGGGTGGCCTTGCGATTTCTTCGGGGGGGTGGCACCGGAGGTGGACCCAACAGGTTCTCCCCTTTCGGGGGCAGCGGCGGCCTGCTTCTGCTCGCGTTGTCGGTCAGAATCCTCCTGCGAACGTGGCCCTTCCTCTTCGGGTGCTTGTGATTCATGTCGTCGCAGGCTTCGCAGAAGTTGTCCTGGCACGTGTCGCATCGCGCGAACACGTTCTCGGTGCCGCACAGGGCGCACTTACCGGCGTACCGGTTGCTCTGGGGCGTCGGGGGTGGTTTCTGGGTCGGGAACTCGATGATCTCGTAGTCGGGGTCACCACAGTCCCCCGAGAGCGACGGCGGGGGGATTTTCGGGGGCGTCGGGGGTCCATGTCGCTGCTCCGCTTCTCGCTGTTGCTGCTGCGCCTTAGAGATTAACACTGTATGTAATATAAACAAATTGATTTGTTGCAAGGATAAATTCGATAAATACAGGTGAAACAAATTATTTCATCAAATGATAAAAAATTATTGAAATTTATAATATGATTGAGCGAGAGAGAAACCTACCATGACCCAATGGGGCATGGATCTTGCCATTCGCAGCTTGGTGGACGGATTCGATATGGCCATCGGTTGCCATCGTTCAGCTCCCGAATTCTAGAAATTGAGAGCAAAATTTTGTTAATAATTTTTTCTTCAAAAAACAGACAGAGTGATTATGTCAAAGACATCTCTGTCGCATTTATTCCTCAGAATGTTGCAACAATTTTTTATAAAAAAAGAAAAAACATTCCCTTATGAAATCCCCAAAGGATTCCCTAACCTGAGAAATGGATGTCACAGCTACAATTAAATATTAAAAAGAAACTGTTATAGTTGCGAATAGATATTTCGAGGAGCCTAATCATTTGGAGCACGCAAACAACGGAATTGGGTATCTCGTCGAGCTAAAAATCTCAAAGAGAGAGAGCCTAGACGATCTCGAAGAAGCCTGGCAGTCTTCTAGCCGCCATAACAGTGCCAAGTGTGAATTGATGTCATCGCGGCCTCGTAAGCTCGCGCTCTTACGAGGCCCCCGAATGGTCTCGTGTAATAAATTTTTCTCCAAAGTAGGCATCGGAAAGCGGGGAAAGCGTGACGTCAGAACGGCGATCCAGAACGCCGGAAGCTGGGGCCGAACCGGGGATCTATTTCTGCGGCCGGGAAAAAGCGGCGTGTTCCGCGTCTAGAAATAAAACTGAGCAGCGTGGTGTGTGTATGTGCGTGTATATATATATGTGTGTGTGTGTGTGTGTGCGTGTGACATTTATTTTTCTCCGCGTGGGTGACAGAGCGACACGACGATACCTATCGTCCTACGTGAAATATCAAACGCGTCTCGTGCCACATTTAAATTCGAGATATTTCTGATCGCGTTTCTGAGAACAACGGTAATAATTAAATAGAAAATTGATGAGCTCCAAATATATAAATCGGGGCTTCCGAAATACGTCCGGTGAAAATGCATGTATCTATTAAAAGTTTCTCCTCCCACTAGTTTCCTCCTATCGCGCTTGCCGTATTATTTCATCGGCGAGCTCGATCGATTGAAGACATTTGTTATATATCTGTTATATATCTGTTACATATCTGTTATATATCTGTTATATATCTGTTATACAGTGCCTACCAAAAGTTCCGGGACGGTCGAATATTTCATAAACTATGCACTTTAGAAAGAAATGTTTCAGACAAAAGTTGTATGGCTTGAAGGGGGCCATAAGGTGGTGGCAATGATTTGACCTTGGAGAATCATTTGAAGATTACGTGAAGGTCACCGTAAATTTTTTAAATGGAATCCTCTATTTTTTATTACATATTCTTATAGTTTATTATTATAGTTAGTCTTATAGTTTAATACATATTCTTAGTTTCTCGAGGGCTTTCCAAAACACTAAAATAATAAAATATTTTTCCTTCAAGTACTTTTCGAGTTATGAGGCTTGAAATCATTTCTCAATTTTACATAAACTGTAAAATATCTTGTAAAATATTCATTTTTCGATTACCTCACTTTAATACTTTTATGTATAAAATAATGAAAGGAATCAATTGGTGTAAAGAAAACGCATAGGTGTTTAAAAAAAATAGTAATATGTAATTGTTAATTGAAAATTACATATATTTTTTCTTAAAAACAACTATGTTTTTTCTTTAACGACTTTTCAAACCAATGATATCATCTTATGGCTCCCTTCAAGCCATACAACTTTTGTCTGAAACATCTCTTTCTAAAGTGCATAATTTATGAAATATTCTACCGTCCCGGATCTTTTGATAAGCACTGTATATCTGTTACATATCTGTTACATATTTGTTACATATATATTCGTTATGTATCTGTTATATATCTGTTACATATCTGCTATATACCTGTTATATATCTGTTATATATCTGTTATATACATATGATTATGGCAGCCAAACAAAGCAAACTGCGAGTGCAACCTCGCGAGAGGCTCTTGTTCGGGAGACGCGAATTAGTCTCTTGAATTAGAGCCGCTCGTATCTTTAGAACGTTCACTCTGTTCTCCTTGTTTCTCAATGTTTTTATTTCTATTTCGTGCAGAGCAGGATTTCCGATGAATCCACACGAAGGATGTACAAACTGTATGTGTCTTATAATGCTGTTGTTGAAACTTTCACAATGCAATATTTTTTTACAATTTTATTCCCGTGAATTGTTTATTTTCCTTTTTCCTTATATTTTTTATTTTCTTTTAGTTTATTTTTAGTTTATTTTATTTTATTATTTTTTAATGTTTTGTTAAAATTATACGCAACCAAAAGGGAATTTCCAGCGAATAAATTTATATTTATCTTGACGTTCATCTTAAAATCGTGAAATCGAAAAATAGAAATCGACAGTTCAATCTTCTTGTTAATTGAACAAAATACATGTGCAACCATTATTAATTTTTTAGATACTTTGAAATAAATATTCTTTTTCTCCTCACAGTTGCACGCAATTTTATTTCCCCCCTCTCTACACATTTTGCCACCAAGCGTGACGAGGTGAACAAAATAAATAAAAGAGAAAGATAAATGCAAATTGAGCGCTCATCGCGAGATTATTTCTCGTCGAAATTGCACACGTCTACGCGCAAGTTGGAAATCATCCAACTTCTAGTTTATCCAAGAGAATTCCTGTCCGTAAAACTTCTTTTTCGCTCAGACACGTCTCGCGCATTTCATTAGCGTTTAAGAGACGAGAGCGCGATGCAATTTGAAGATTTGCTTTTATATTTTCGTCACATTTCCCACAATGAAACGCACGATAACCTGGCATAGTTAAATAATGGGATAATTAAATAATGATTAGTATGCAAGGGGAGAGCAATCCCCGATAAGGGCTCTCAAAACCGGAAGCAACTGTCACGCAGTCGGGGAGCACGAGTTTAGATAAGAGTTAATTGACTCGACGACTCCTCCCCCAGCAGTGTGAGAATTTTACGCTTTATCTTTTGTTAACGTTGCTTCTCATTTTAGAGAAAATAAACCGGCACCCGCATCGGGAGAGATAGCTGCGTAAACGCGCTACAAGACTGGCAATCGCGAAGCAAAGACCTGGATAACAATACAATCGATAATTATTCTCCAAATAAATTCACTTTTTCACGTTTGACAAATCGAATGTATTTTGAAATGACGAATATTAAAATTGAATATTCACCCTTTCTCGGAATTTTTCGGCGCAATTAAGTTGTGTTCGAATGAAAAGATTTTCTACAAAATTTATTTCTATTTAAAAAATTTATTTTTACTTTTATTTATTTTTATTTTTTTATAAAAATTATTTTTATAAAATATTTTATAGATTTTTTTATAAAAAAATGGATAGAGATATTATGTTAATAGTTGCCTTCCGCGACACGAGTTTGATCGCGTCATCGGTAATCGTATGCACGATGTAAGATATTCGAGGCATGTAAAGAGCCAATTTGATCGATCTCATCCGGTCTCAAGAACTCGTCGCATTCGACGCACCTATCGCAAGCTCCGATTTATATTACCGGTACATTTAATATTCATTATCACCGCCTGAGACACTCAATCAATCGCTTCAAAGCACTGAGATCTCTTGGAACCGATCAGTAGCACTCCGGTATCCCGATGACATTTGCCGTTGAACCTCATCGTTGAAGAAGAGATCGCTGCCATTTTACATTTTCCGATTCGTCTCTCCCGATATTAACCAAAGGAATGCCGATGCTAAAGAGGCACGAGAGAGATTTCTAACCGCTGGGGAAGGTCTCCGGCGAGCGCAAATAGCCGTCGATCGAGTCGAGGAGACGAGGAAGGATGGCACCGCCGAGGGGTCGCACTCCCGGGGGACGGATATCGGCGCACTCACGTTCATGTGGGACACCTCGCCGCCTCGGCGCTTCGATTCTCTTCCGGTTTTCCTCGGGAACTGGTCGCCGCGGTACTGGCCTCCCCGATTCGCCTGGTGCGAGTCGCATCTCGCCGCCGAAAATCTATTTCCGTAACGCCACGACCGCTGGACCGCCGCCATCGTTCCTCGTCTCCTCGTTCGCGTAAATATATCGCGACGCTGCCGTCGTGCAGTTTGGATTACTCGTTAGAACACACGGGCTTCAGAAGCTAGTTTAGGGCTCATTTCAACACCTTTTTCTCGAATACGACCATAACTGTCGCGGGACGTTTCTATCGCTGTGCAGAGGATGTTGGAAAGCGATTCTATGAAAATTTTGCGTGATATTTTTGCGGAAGAAGTCAGAAATTAGATGGTTTATATATTTCATTTCAAGTGTCGTATTTTTTATAAAAAATATTTTTATCTAGCATTGCACAAAATGCTTGAATTAGTTCATGAATGTTTAGTTCTCTCTCAATGTAATAAAAAGTTATTTGTTAAATAAATTTAATTTCAAACGCTCATCTTTATTAACCTTATCTTTATTAATCTCCATCCACAGATATAAAATAAAGATTAAAATATCAATTTTAGTTTGCAAAAATCAATTGTAATATGAAAATTATTATTTTTATATTAGAATATCGACACATTTTTAAATTACTTGCAGAAAAACTAAAATTAAAAATTGTACGTTTGCTACATTTCAAGAATTATATTTTATAAAAAATATTTTTACTGTTTCAGCATTGCACCAAATGCTTGAATTCGTTCATAAATATTTAGTTCTCTCTCAATGTAATAAAAAGTTATTTGTTAAATAAATTTAATTTCAAACGCTTATACCTTATCTTTATTAATCTCCATCCACAGATATAAAATAAGATTAAAATATCAATTTTAGTTTGCAAAAATCAATTGTAATATGAAAACTATTATTTTTATATTAGAATATCGACACATTTTTAAATTACTTGCAGAAAAACTAAAATTAAAAATCGTATGTTTGCTTTGTTTCAAGAATTACATTTTATATAAAATATTTTTACTTTTCCAGCATTGCACCAAATGGTTGAATTAGTTCATAAATATTTAGTTCTCTCTCAATATAATAAAAAGTTACTTGTCAAATAAATTTAATTTCAAACGTTTATACCTTATCTTTATTAATCTCCATCCACAGATATAAAATAAAAATTAAAATATCAATTTTAGTTTGCAAAAATCAATTGTAATATGAAAACTATTATTATTTTTATGTTAGAATATCGAGACATTTTTCAATTACTTGCAGAAAAACTAAAATTAAAAATCGTATGTTTGCTTTGTTTCAAGAATTACATTTTATATAAAATATTTTTACTTTTCCAGCATTGCACGAAATGCTTCAATTAGTAAATGAATGTAATTCTCTCTCAATGTAATGAGAAGAAATTTTAATTTATTTATCGAATGAAATGAATTTACTTTCAAATGTTTATATTTTATAATCTTTATCCATAGATAAAAAGAAAAAATTAAAATATCAATTTTAGTTTGCTAAAATTATTTGTACTATAACAACTGTTATTTTTATATCAAAATGTCGATTAAGACATTTCTAAATTAATAAGAGAACTGAAATTAAATATATTTGCTTCATTTTAAGAATTATGTTTTATAAAAAAATATTTTTACTATTTCAGAATTGAATAAAACGCTTTAATTTATTCCATGAATATTTAATTCTCTCTCAATGAGAAAAGAGTAATTTATTTGTCAAATGAATTGACTTTCAAACATTTATAATTTTCATCTAGATAAAAAATAAAGATTAAAATTTTAGTTTTATTTTAATTCGTCCCAAACGCTAAAATCAATTAATATAAAAATTATATTATTTTAATATATTTAATATATTTAATAAATTTAATGTATTTAATATATTTAATAAAATATTATCGAGATATTTCTAAATTATTTTACTCGCAGCCATTTTATATCAAACGAGAAAAATGATCGCTCCTCGTCTGTCTTTTCGAATAAGCAAAGACATTCATTCTCATCATTAATTTTCAATATTATGTATATTATTATGTATCTTGTCATTAAAGTTCAGATTAAAATTCTGGAAAATTTCTTCAAAATCAATTTAAGAAAAATAAAATTATTACACCCTAAGAAATTAAAAGGATTTTCGATGGAGGAGGAAAAGGGAAACGCACATCTCTCGATATGTAACATCAAGAAATCTGTAATTATGCAAATTGCATATGCTAATGGAATGCGAAGTTGACCGGTCGCGCGGTCTGACTTATTTCCAGTCCGCAAATTTACATGGTAAATTTGCTGGCACACCTCGCTCGTGTCACCGTGAAAATTCACCTTTGGCCGCGATGGTCACACGAGAGTATTATTTGCCGGTCGCGTCCCAATTAAAGGAGATACAGCGCGACTCTGTCGAGCTACAGTATCCAGTTAACATTCATTTGTGAGAAAAAAAAAAATTCCGCGTGTCTATTATTTTTTTTTCTTCTCCCTCTCTTATAAAAAAACAGAAGTGATACGAGCCCGGCTCCCACAAACGTTAGAATTAAATGGAGTGCGCAACGAACGGAGGGGAGTCTCTCGTGATGTCGGAGTAATGTGTAATATGTCGTTATACCTCTCTATTGCATCATCGCTTTGCAAAATCGCTTCCCACGCACGTGTGCGAAACCCTCGCGCGCGTCGTGTGGGCGCTTTTGCGCTTTCTGCCTAGAAATGGCGGCTCGCGCAGGAAGCGAGAGAGTCGCTTTAAGGATAAGCGGCGGTTCAAACGCACGTTTCATGCAAATTTCTCGCAGATTCATGATTCATAAGCCGCAAACTGCCATCGCCGGTAAATAGCCCGCTATATCGAACTCTGTCGGCGGCTTCGTTAATATACATGTAATCCGTCCTTGCGTGTATCTATTCCAGTATCTGTCGAATCATCATGCTACGTCATTACATTAAGTTATTACATAACAACATTGTATGAAACCTCCAGCAATTTGCTCCTCATATGTATTTTCGATATAAATCAGAAGCTTTTTTTATATTTATTGCTGTGTAATCAATGTATGTAGTTGGAATCTAACGCGAAAGATAAACTATTTTATTATTTAATAATTATTTATTATTAAATAATTATTATTAAATCTTATTTATTATTAAATTGTTATTATTATTTATTATTACATAATTGTTATAATATATTTATTATACAGGGTGTCCTAGACCATCCGTACACCCCTTTTCTTTCAAAAATTAAGCATTTTAGAGAAAAATGTTTTCGACAAAAATTGTGTAAAAAATAGGTGGTTCCATTTAAGAAATTAAAGGTGTCTTTGACCTGATCTTAACGATGCCATCCAAGGTCAAATGACATCATCTTATGTTCCCCTCAAAATTATACAATTTTTGTCGAAAATGTTTTTCTCTAAAATGCTTAGTTTTTGAAAGAAAAGGGGTGTACGGGTGGTCTAGGACACTCTGTATAATTGTTATATAATTATGTAATAATAAATAATATTATGTATTTAAAATTATTATATATTTATTATTGTATAATTATCGTTTATTATTAGATTATTATTATTGTTGTTATTTAATAATAATTGTTATTAAAATAGATCGACGCAATTAATAAATCAAATTCAGGTAATCTAAAGAATTTATCTATTATGGATTTACCCTTTTCGAATGTAATTTCTTATACAGTGTTTGCTGGTATTTAGATAAAATTATCTAGATAATCATCTAGATAAAGAAATGGATCATCTTTATTTTTAACTAGATGAAGAAATACAAAGTATCTTTATCTTTATCTTAGATGAAAAATATATGTCATCTTATCTAAAAATTGTCTAAGATGACGTTTTCATTATGCAAAAGAATTTTCCAGGCAAGCTTCTAAAAATCTATCTAAAATAGCTAAAATATATTTTTTATTTTAGAAAAATAATATTACAAATATACTTTATCTTGTACTTGTTTTACTTAAATTTGTGCAATGCATTAATGTATATTTTATAAAAATAATATATGTATTATTACACATTGATTATCATATTATTAATATATTATAAATATATTATAAATATATTATAAATATATTATAAATATAAATTAATAAATAAATATTTATTATATCATTTATATACCTTTTTGTTATTATTTAAATATTCTTTAGGAAAAGAGAAAGAATATGAGTTTATGATTTTAATATCCCATTTATAATCTGTGTCACATTTTTTACAAATATTTATAATCTTATAAAATAAACAAAAATATCTAGATAATTATCTAGATTATCGCAATAATAATCTCATTTTTCATCTAGATTAAGTAAAAGCAAAATCATCTTTATGTCATCTAAGATAAATTTACGGATTTTTATCTTTATCTTTACCTAGACAATTTAAAATTATCTACACTGTTCTTATATGATATTTTAATTACTTGTTTTTGACTTGAAGAGTAAGAGTTAAAATTGTAGAAAAAGCCAAAATATAATAAAAATGTTTAAATTTAAATTTTCTTGAGGATCGCCAGTAAATAAATAAAAGAAATAATTAAAATCGATCACCACTGGCAATATTTATTGAGGTAAAAAATCACGACGTTTCGACCATAGGTTTTGGTCCTTTTCGAGTGAAAGTAATTAAATTAAAAAATTAAAAAATTAAAAAATTAAAAATGTTTAAATACTCATATTTATGGCATTTTAGAGAAATCTGTGGACTTGAAAATATTTCACAATTATCTATCCATCTTTGAAGAAAAGGAATTCATGTTGAGGAGAGAGAAAGAGAGAGAGAGTAACATCCGTTCACAGAGTACACCTTCGAACGGACCCTCGCCAGGTGAGCGCGCGCGTGAGAGTGACCGTTACGCAGGTAAAACGCAGGTAGGACACCGCAGGTAGGTTCCCCAACCTCCTGGCGCCACCTGCGCGTTTCGTCGGCGGTGCCGACTCAAAATGGCCGTTTCTCTCACCTCAGACCTTCCCGGAACGTCGTCGGAGGCAGGTGGAGATATATTCGGGGGGGCCCGATATTTCCAGACTCGCGGGGCCGCCTCGTCTCAGAGTGTCGAGACCTCATTCCGGACGGCGGACCTGCCGAAAGCGTGTCACAGACGTTCGTCGGCGCGAGGGAAGGTCGAGAGTGCGCTAATCGTAATCCGCGATCTTCGACGCGTGCGTTCGATCGATTTCCGAGGATCGTTGGAACAGGTGGAGATACCCGCTGGTATCCGATTCCTCTTCCTCCTCCTTCTTCTCGTCTACCGCGACCCGCGAAACGGAGCTGGCTGGTGATTTCGATGCGCGGCGCGGCGATAATCGGTGGATCGAGGGGGACCGCGAGGACATCGCGACGGATATCGTTCCGCGGTGCTCGAGGCTCGTCGACGTCCGCGATCTCTCACCTGGCCGAGGAATAGGGGTGGATCCAGGACCAGATTCTGGAGGACCAGACGAGTCGAGCGAGCGAGAGAGAGCAAGAGAGAGAGGGAGACATGCCTGGCAGTCACGGAACCAGTCATCAAGACCGCTTGCGGACGAAGCGAGGATTATGAGGACGTACGTATCGGCGCGAGATATATTTGCGTGAAAATTCGAGTCGCCACGATTATTCCTACCTGTCTGCGAATCATCCGTCGCCCTCTTATTCGGCGCATCGCTTCTGGAACGTTTGACAGCGACACGATTTATTGTCGCATTTAATTCCCGTTTCTCGCTCTCGCGATCTTTTCATCGGCTTAACAAATTACGAGGCGGATTGAATCTGTTCGCGGAGCTCGGTGAACGATGGGAGAAATTTTCTAGAGAGTATTCCTCGACATTCGACGATCATTCATCTTTGTGCGCGCGAAACCTGCCGTAGGATTGAAATTAGGACACGTGCCTGAAGCGTCAATGGACGTATCGCGAATTTCAAGTGTCCCAAGCTGAGTCGTTACTTGAAATCTCGCGACTCCTTCCGACGAGAAGGTGAAAGATCCCCTTATCAGGACCATCGGAATAATGATACGTTCCACCTTCGTAATTAAATAAGAAATTAAAAGACCGTTATTTATCGGTCACGCGTTTTACGCGATTTAATTGACTTTTCGCTTCGTTAATCAAAGCTGTAATTAAAGTTAATTAAGAAAACGGAAATATCATTAATATCCTGATCGCGTAAGATATCGCAGGATATCGATGTTAAATCGCTCGTAACAATTTACGTTGTATCAATTAAGAAGCCGAAGGCGGCATCGTTTTTTCAAGAGTCCTTTTTTTTGCAACAGATTCCTTCGTGTCACGTTATAAATAGAATTTATCGACGCGACATAAACACGACACGTACTCATGAGATGACATATGTAGTGTCTTTTTTATTACGTAACGATCGGAAAATCGCTAGAAAAATATTCCATTAATTGACTTGTTGTTGCCAGATTAATGACACATCCATTTCCTTTTTCATTCGACAAAATATCTCCGTAGTAATGAAGTTAGTGTGCGTGCGTGGCACACGCATCGTTTCGGCTTTCGTGGACTGACGGACGTGAAATACCTAGAGAAGGTGGGCCAGAAAATGGGGACATTCGAACAGGCGAGGAATGCGCGTAAATCATTTTCGCGTTCGCGAGACGCGTCTCGCTTTCTTCCTTACTTTTCGAAAAAATGCTTTCTTTCGCGCCGCATCTATTCCCCGGATGCGCGTTTTTTTTTCTTTCTTTAAATATTGTTTCTTAAAATATTATTTTATATATTATTTTATTATTTTTTAAATTATTTATTATTTATATTTATTTTTATTAACATTGTTTTTCTAAAATATTATTTTATATATTATTAATTATTAAATGTTTATATAATATTTATTAAATATTTTATTTATTTTATTATTATATTTTTATCTTTCTTTTTTATTTTTTATATTTAACGAGCGATAAATGACGGAAGACGGGTCGATTTATAAAGGAGACCGTATTATGCGACCAATGGCACTTGGCGGCCGCCCGTTTCTCACTCCGGAGTTATGCAATTCGCCATAATCGTGCCGCTCCGATCGCATTCCACGGAGAGTCGCCGTTCTCGGCGTACGCAAGACGCGGACCCGCGGATGGTCGTCGACCAGGGACGGATCTAGGTGAATGGAAAGTAATGGAAGTCGAGTCTCAAGTTTCTCCGAGTTGAGATCTTAGAAGCGGAGAATAATCTTGTACGGCACTTGTCGGGATCTAGGATTTTAGACGCGTTTCTTTCGACACGTATCTTCCTATTCTTTCGCTTCAAGTCTCTTTGTATTTAAAAAAAAATCTTAGAAAAAGAAGATTTTTATTCATTATATTTTTCTTGATCAATAGTCTTAAAAATGTGCTCCATCACGTCTCACAATCAAATTTAAAATATTTAAAATATTTAAAGTAGAATTAAAATATTTAAAGTAGAATCCTCAAAGAGAGGATATTTTTTAATGTAATTTAATTATGATATATTACGATAAATGTGCTAGAAGAGTTTTATTCCGCTCAAAATTAGGTATAAATATTTAAGTATAATTTTTGAAATTTTCGATATCATAGAAATTGGTGCAATGATTAAAATTAATAATATTACCGAAATTAAATATAATGTAATTTTAAAGCTTTTAATTTTTTACGATAAACGAACCAGTGAAATCGATTTTCTAAACGAAAATATGCATTTTTATTAAATGTGCATTTTTACTATCTAAGCTTTTTTAAATCCAGATTTAGAAAAAAAAATACACGAAGTAAAACGAAATATTTAGATTCAGAAAAAATATTTTGTATTTTACGTGAAATATTTTTTTTTTAAACACTTTTTTCAAGAATATTTAGGAGTATTTTTCAAAAATTAATATTTTACTTCTCGACATCCCGACATTTTGCTTTATCTCATACATTCATGTTTTTGAAAAATCGATTAAAACAAGCTTAACGTCAATAAAAATGTAAATTTGTTTTTCAGGAATTTGTCTTGTTCAGGAACTGATCTTGATAAAAAAATGTCGATTTAAAATTGCGCTCCGAAAGTTACTTGATTTTATTATCTCGCAAAAAATTGAAAGTTTTGAAATTACAGCTGATTTCGGTATCAATTTAAATCATCGCTCCAATTTCATTGATATCGGAATTCTATCAAACTATTATCGAGACTCTTATCATCCACACCTGCGTCTGTTGGTGCAAAAGAATTATATTCAGCGATAAAGTTTGAATCTTGGGATTTCCGCGTCAAAGAGTAAAGCGCCTAGTTTAATGAGACGTGTCATTTCCGTTATGAGAGCTCCCTCGACCAGGCAGATGCTCGTTAATCGAATAGCATTTTATTATAAAAATTTATCCGTCCGATTAAAATAAATACAATTCTATTAAAGAATCGCGCGGACCGCGACGTATTCGATTGATCGCATTCTGCTGGTGGCTAACAGGACTCGTATACCTGTCTGGACTCTATCGCGTATGCCCCGCTAACTCGATGCGAGACGTTGTTAGCGCTATCGGGCACACAGTTACGTCATAATCAATATTACGCATTATTAGTTCCATCGTCATCGGCAGTTAATGGCATAGATACTAGCTTATATACCGCGATGTAACAAGTATAAACATTAGGTCGTTGATGAAGCGGGGTATTTCGAGGCGGATGGTAATGACCGTATCTACTTATGCATCGTGTTATAAATTCAATGGGCGAATAATAGCAAAGTGCAAAAGTAGGTGAATCGATGACCAATGTCGATTACCTCGTTTCTGCGCCCCGCGGAAATCTCTTCAACTGAATCAGTGAAAATGTCACTCAAGCAGAGACGAGATTTCACCGAAGGTCGGCGAATATATGTCGCTGGTTTTCAATTCTTCTACAGCTAATATGACTATTCAGAATTATATGAATATTATAGATTTTTATTCTAGAGATGCGACAGGACATAAAGAATGAATGATATTTTCAGTCAAGCTTTGATCAATCTTTTACAAAATATATTTTAATTTTTATATATTATTAATAATTCTATATATTATCTACTATAAATAAATATTATAATATATAAGACGCATTTTGTAAAATATCACAGATTGAAACAGCCATTATTGCCTAACTGATTCGATTTTTCATTCAAGATTTTACTTGCTATATTTGAAACTGAAAAACCACTGCAAATTAATAATGCATTAATATTATTTAAGACGATATACAGGGTGTTTAATAAATTCGAAAAATTTTAGGAGATGATTCTTTGTCGAAAATTAAAGGTGGTTTTTCATTTAAACATATACTCCTACATCCCTTCCTGTGGAGTTACACTCTTCCAAAAATAAAGATAAAAATTAGATTTTTATTTCTTTCTCAAATTTGGAACAAGTTAAAGAAATGAAATAAGATGGATATTTTCCACTAATAAAAAGGTTATTTATTTAAAGGTTATTAATATTTTTTTCAGTCTCCCGTATTATTATAACGGGATGAAACTAGCAATCCCTATTCAATATTTTATTAGAACTTTTTAATGGGATCATCTTAATATGATCATCTAAAAATATGCATTAAAAAGTTTGATTTATTTCGAAACTTTTTCATTTCTTTTATTTTCTTCATAAAATCAATAGTTTTCAAGATAAAAAAAAAATAAAATACGTTAATTAATTTTCGACAAAGAATCATCTGCTAAAATTTTTCGCACTTATTAAAAAATATTCTATATATAATCTCGATTCAATTTTTTATTAGAACTTTTTAATGGGCCGAAATATGATCATCTAAAAATATGCATTAAAAAGTTTGATTTATTTAGAAACTTTCTCATTTCTTTTATTTCTTCATAAAATCAATAGTTTTCAAGATAAAAAAAAATAAAATACGTTATCGATGCTAAATAGCATAGGTTTCGAATTACGAGAAGTTAAATTTTAAAATAAAAATAAAATTAGAATAAATTTGGGAAAATTGGAACAAAGACAAAATTATAATAAAATAACTATAAAAACCTAAAAAATAAAAACCTAATTTTTGGAGGAATGTAATTCTACAGAGAGGGATGTAGTACACGTTTATATGAAAAACTCCCCTTAATATTTTCGACAAAGAATCATCTCTTAAAATTTTTCGTACGTAAAAAAAATCCTATATATATTTAAATCTCGATGTAAAAGTTCGAGGTAGAAATAAACATAATAGCAAGAAAGGAATGCTTTTCCATGCATTTTTTTATGTATATTCTCGAATATTTTTCTCCGCCGTGTTAGATATAAATTTGGTCAAGTCGCAAATATATTACACTTTGCACTGGCTTCTCGATTTCTCTAGATTTTTAGGGTCGTCCGGGGGTAACGAACTGTCTCGCAACAGCGAGAACAGGTCGTGCACATCGTGACCTTATTTACAAAGAATTAGCTCATACCTCGCCGTGTGAGGACCGCGACGCATAAAATCCTTTCTCCCGATACGGCGGTGCGTTCATCTCTCTTTCTTCCTTCGGAAGAGAAATATTCCCTCTCCGACATGTTCCATTAGTATGGCACGCGTTTCCATCGTGAGATCGCGATCACCTGCGACCTGTGTGATTG